AAAACTCAGGTTTCTGATATTTGTAAGTATACTTTATTTTAGTTTACAGTTGTTCATAATTTTAATATAATTAATTCACCAAAATATTTACTATTAGTATGTTATTAACATTATAAGTATATATTAAGTACCTACCTATATAATACAAATAAACAGTATTACTATGTATAATGTTATGTAGATATACAGTAATAGTATACACTTATATTAAATTCATATAATATGGTGAACACCTACTAGATATACATGTTTTTTTTTATTTTTTTCTTTAGTAAATTTCGTAGAATATTAAAACAATTCAAACAATAATCAAAGTATAAAAATGCTTGAAGATACACACATTTTTAAGCTTTAATTTCTCGAAAGATAGGTATAACAACGGCGCTAGGACAATTTAATATGAAAATAAAAAATAAAACGGCCAACTGTAATCAAAAAAAAAAGAAAATAATAATAAAACAACAAACGGAATGCAACACTGCCGCGTTTTACCATAGTTCAACATGTTTCGACTGGTTTTGATCGGTCTAAAACATGTCGATACACTATTGCGACTGCGGCTAAATGTAATACGCCCCTATAAACAGCCTGGGGGGTCGAATCTTAAAATCATTCTATAAATTTATCAAATGTGATAAAATGATAAAATTATCGAATGCGAGTATCGAAACCTATTCTTGAACAAGTCTCGATAAAATTTTATCATTTATCGAATGCAACAAAATGTTTCGCATGTGGTAACAGTAATAAATACATTACAATACATTATTCTAACCTTAAATGTAAAAATTATTACTGATAAATAATAATTTTCGATAATCATAGATAATAAAGAATTATCTATGGTGATAATGATAAAATATAAATTGATGACAATTTTTGTCGTAAACAGATTATTTTTATTATGTATATTTGTTTTCTTATTATATTGATATATTCTATTATATGATATTAGTTTTTAGTTTTTACTAATTTTTTAATGATAAAAAGTGACACTAGCATAGAAATTGTTGGTGGATTTATTATCTCTAGACTCTCAAATCATTGTTGGAAAATGTATAGTCAATTTTTCCCATAAAATAGCCAGATATCAGTGGGAAGCTATTACCTCCAAACTGAATGTTGATTGTTTTATCAATCTAAATTATTTTTTAAATAGGGATTCTGAAATTGAAAAAGCATCCATAACTTTATCATTTTTATTTGCATTAAATCGGTAATGTCGGTATATTTATATTTTAACCGATTTTTAGTCGTTAATTTTAATATTAGAGTGTATTGACTTATTGCTTATTATCAATTATAAAGTTAAGAACACTATCTGTATTCGTACGGTAGTTTTTTTGTTAAATATTTTTATTTTTTAATCCACATATTTGTAATACGTTTGAAAATTAAAATATCGAAAAAAAAACAATGTTTAATCACAGAAAATGTTCTTACCTTTAAGTTTGTTTAGTTATATCCTAATACACATTAATGTTAAAAGTAACAGCACAAAATCGATTTTTATATACAATAAGTACAAATATAACAATATTATCCGATTTTATAACATTTACCATACCATACAGTGATTCGAAATCTATATTACAACCATTTTCTAAATATTCAAATTCCAAGAACTTTAAATCGATTTCAAGCATAATTTTGCATTAACTAATATTATTTAATCAACACAATTTATTGAAAACTATTTTCTTATTGTGTTTGCAAAAGAAGTATAAGTTTATATTTTAATTTCAAAAGTTAATCACCTAACCTCCCTAAAAGACTGCAAAAATAAATAAATAATAATTAGCAAATAATTTTAGACATTTATAAATCAAGAAACTTTCGTATTATACATTTTTCTATATTTTGAATATGTATGTAATAAAATAGCTGTAACAAATTTTGAATCACTCTGTATACCTACATACTTGAAGTAATTTAAATACGAATCATTGGTAGTTGAGATTTAAGGCGAAGTTCCGGTAAACATGCATGTAGAAATACTTCGATTTTTAGGATCTTAAATTTTATAAATTTGAACTTTAAACGCTTAAAATCATATTACCGCTTTACGCCATGAAGTTTCATCAATTTATTACTTTATTTATAAGGATCAATATCTCATGTTAATAAGTTGACTTTTATCTGTTACCTTCTGTATCACATTTAGAAGGTGATCAAACGGGGAAGATGAGGGGATATATTTCCCATAAGTTTATTTTTATTAAATAATAATAAATAAGCATAGTGTTTTTTCAACCCTGCTTACCCAATTTTTATAATTAAACTATGCATAAATATGACCTTTGAAATTTTTAAATGTAGTAAAAACAAAAAAAACATATTTTCGAATACATAGATTTATAACAACATTTAAGAAGTATTCTGTGGTGATAACAACGTTGGTATTTCAAGAGAAAACCTACATATTTTTAATACAAATAGTCAATCAGATGATTTTTCTAAAAATGTTGACATATTGTAATCAAAATTTAAAAGAAAAGTTTCCGAATTATTTTACTTTAAATACTAAATGATAATATTTAACTGCACGGATCAAAATGCACGAAACAGTCTATATCTAAATAACTTATTCCCATAAAAGGTTATTATCCTTATTACTTAGTATTTAAAGCAGAATAACTCAGAAACTCTTCATTCAAATTTTGATTACAGTACGTCAACATTTTCAGAAAAAACTTTTGATTATTAATTTGCATCAAAACATGTAGTTTCTCATTTGAAAAATCAAAATTATTATCACCACAGGATACGCCTTAAATATTGTGAAAAATCTAGGTTTGTGAAAATATTATCGTTCAGTGCACTTAAAAATTCCAAAAATCAGAAATTGAATTTATGCATAATTTAACTTGGTATATAAACAGAGTAAGCATAACTACTTAAAAATCACCCTGTATTAAATATTTATAGTTATAAAAAAAATTATGTAAATAATATAATAGTTTTTAAAAATGATAAATATCTATCCCCCCCATGACCTCCTTTTAATGATTTAACTACCATTAACTACACTTGCGCTTATTGTAAAAAAAAACTTTGTCTGCTTGGAAAATTCTAATGAACAAAAATTATTATATTAACTCAACTTTTTATTGATCAACTTGTGGTATATCTTGTATCAAATGTTCAAGCGTATATAGAACCAAACAATTTTACTCAAATAAATCAGAAAATAGTACCTAATTGAGGTTTTCATCAAAATTTGAACTATGAACCCTTATCTATTAAACTGCGCTTAATTTGAGTAAAAATGTGACTACTAAGTTCTACTTATAATAAACTTTGTATTCAATTTACAAGTATTTCTACTCGGCTTAAAGAATTTGATCTATATAAAACCAAATAGAAACTAAAATTCGAAAAATAAAAATATACATCTAAATCGGATAGGTACCTATATTTCGTTATATTCCACTATCCCAATTCAGTTTTCTGTTCCTTTATTAGCTTTCAAAATATAATTGGTATCCATCCGAAATTGATAAATGTATTAGAAAAAAAAAATTGTTTTACAATTGTGCACCACAATAACCGTTTAACTATATCTGCTAAACCAACAATACACACACACACTCACACATTTGTTACAGCGCACTTTTATTTTACTACTAATCGTAGCTTACTACACAACGTATGTGCTACAAGTTACAAGTTACAACACAATTAGGCCCTGCAATATCATCTCTTCTCGATTGGATTTATTTGGTTTTTGTTTTAACTCATTATACCTATGTCACGTCAAATCATTGTTTTTAATTACCTATATTTAATTATTAGATGAATTATTTAATTAAAAAAAAAAAAAGGAAAAAAAGACGAACATACCTACATCGCACGTGAGTAAGCTACTACTGTTGTAGGTGAGAAGTTTAGAAAGTAGTAGATAGGAAATTTAATATATATCTGTAAGCAGCGATGAACCATTGCTAACGAAAAAACGATCCTGAGCGGGGTTAGTTGATAGTGATGTTTTGTCAACAATATACATGTCATGTATTATGATGAAATATGTAGGCATAGACATAGACGCAACTAGACCATCAACCTTGGTGCTAAAATTATAGACACATCACAGACTCAAAGAGACAATACCCTCACAATACACTTTACCTCTTTACACGATACTTATAATAAGCAACCACACTTTTTATTTATAATTTTTTATATAAAAATGTATCAAACTTTTTAAATTGTCTTTATTTGTAGGTAATTTGTATTTTGCTCTGTGTATTAACTATGAAATACATAGATAAAATATTTAGTCTATACTAAAAAACAACGTATTGGGTATTTTCGGGGGTGCTAAAGACACTCTAAAATCACCTTAGTTGCACCTATAGGCATAGGCATTATATAATTTCTTTAATAATATTTGTTTAATATTGTACCGATTTTCTCGTTATTCCCATTTATTGGGGAAACTTCTGAAAAAATCAAAAAATGACCTTCCTAAAAATGCCTCTCAAGTCAGATTTCTATTAAGAAAAAGTGCTATCATTGTAAATCGAAGCGAAATTGTTAGTAGATAAGATAAAACCATAAACTTCTTCGCTCCACTCAGAATCTAATAGTTTAATGTATATAAAAATAACATTTTTAAAATGAATACTCACACTATTTGCTATTACTAAAATAGTGATCATGAATGATGATTTTATAATGTTACCTACTACAAAATTCTTCTATTTAGCAATATTCAATTTTAAATTTGTAGCGCTATCTATGCACAAATATTTGTTTTAAATAATACTGTTTTCGTCAAAATAATATTGTGCGAGATTATATTTTTCCCGAAACTTATTGAATTAAAAATTGGTTTAAATTAACTAATTATTTTCTATAGGTACTAAACATATTCCGTTTTTTCCAAAACCGAATGGTTTAAACAAATAAAGTCAAAATCGGACGAATAACTTTGATTTTTCCTCGTCGTCGGGTTGTCTAGCCTGGCGATAAAAGTTTGATAGCCACACAATAACAATGATAATAACGAGGAGCGGTAGGTCTACAACTACAATATTACTGGCATCCAATAATATAACGAGCTAGTGGAAAAAAGAACCAAGGAGAAGTGTATAGAAATGGTAGGATCGTAGTTGGTTACAGTGCGTTTTTCATTGTGCTCGTCATACGCAAACTCCGTACTCGCGTTCTCTTTCTCTACTCTGTGCCGTTACCGTACCAGTGTCCCATTTCGGTGCGCGTTCGAAACGTCCGGCAGAGGCCAACCGCAGCGACGCCGCCGACGATTGCTCGCTCTCGCTCACTTGCCAACGACACGGTGTTTTTTTTTTTCCCCGTGACGATTTCCCGTCCTTGTTCTGTGTGCGGTGTGTTGTCTTTACCGATGGCGCGTATTACGTTTGGCGACGACGACGACAATTAATTAATTGGTTCTATTTATTCTTCGGAGCGCTCTCGCACGACGCGACGGCCGCCGATCGTTTTTCTTTCTCTTCGGTTTTTTTCCTCGCTAAAACGCGTACCCTCCACACACACCGAAAACAAAAATGTTCGGCCATAAACACTCTTGACACATCTCGGGTATCCGTCGATCGTTTTTGCAACCGAGACGGGCCGCGGCACACCATACTAATTCATTCTCACCTTTTATTTTGTTTTTTTTTTCATCTCGTTTTACTGTCGTAATTTAATCATTAACTTATATCCGTACGCGTTCAAACATATAATATTAAACTACTATCCCGTGAAAAACCAAAATTAAAATTGTCGAAATATGGGAAATCACAACAGTTTCAATATAAACCACAAAGAACAATTGCACTCGGCCAGGATTAATTCCCTTAACAAGGATCCAACGCTGGGCATGTTACCTATGGAGAAACTTGGAAAGGTACTGCAATGTTTTTATTATGTTCACCAATTCCTCATTATCTATTTAGCTATTTTGATAAGGTGTGGTTTAATTTCATGTCGTTTTGACTCTTGCCTTTGATGAGATTAAAATAACAATGAACAATAATAACTCGATGTGCATTTTTGAACGGATAAAGTCAGTTTGTTTCATGGAATTTTTTTTATTTATTAATATTTTAAAGTAACCAACTATTTCATACCTAAGATGATGTCTGTTATTATTGGTACCTAGGTACTTTGTGTCAAATTACTAATTAGATAATATTCCTATATTCACCTATTTATATTTTCAATATCCACTTAAATTTCTAATTAGTACGAATTCGTTTTTATTTAATAGATACTCTCTAAAATTGTGGAGATACTTAGATACCCAAAATTTAATTAATGCATTTTTCACATAAAGAAAGAAGTACTATCCATTCCACTAGGGTTTTCTTCTCGATATCTAAGTAACTTATAAAGGTATTCACCACATTACTATAGCCATAGGTACTATACAAACTTATATTGTTATTTAAATTAATTCAGGTACCTATCTCTTGATTGCCTCCAACTTCCCAGGGGAAACATCACCTCAAGGATATTCAAGATGCATTTTTTCTTCATTCTCATGTATAATTTACAATGAAATTATATTTTTCCTGGTTATTTTATATTCTAACTAACCCCATTAGGACCAAAAGTCAGGGTGAAATTGATATTGCATATATATATATGGTTTGAATACGTAACGCTATTATTTTATTTAGGTTAACATCAGTTAATGATAAACATCTTTAAAAAAGAGCTCAATTTAATACTGAGTTGTTTAATTGTATAGGTATACCTAGTTATAGATGCTAATCTCAATTTATTCTACCTACCTAGTTTGAGTAAAATTTAACTTTTTACCCGTTTAATTGGGCTTTTATTGTTTATCACTAAAATACATGCACATAGATCTTAAGTAGGTATATAGAAGGTATATATCTTAGGTAGGTAGGTACTTTTATAAAATTTACTATGCGGGTACTATCAAAGGTACCTATTATCACTAACATTAATTATTTAAATTAATTTTTGTATTTGGTTTTAATACGGTCTATTAATTACAGAAAACTTAAAAGACAAAGATTTTCTTTAGCTAGGTACCCACTTTAGAAAAAAATAGGTTACCTATAATTTAAATATCTACTTAATAGTTATGAATAAATAAGATAATATGTATTGCTTATAAATTATAATTTAAGAAACATATAAATAGATATCTAATCTAATCTAGGGTATATAAAATAAAAAATTATTAATTATGGATGCTTCACTTCTGAGCACCTATCTTAGATCTGCACCTGGGTTTTATCATCTTTTATAAAGGTAGAATACTTCAATGTTTTTATTGTATCTTATAGTTACCTTATACAGACTAAATTGTACATTGAATGATCACTGTTGGGCACAAGTCTTTTTCTCATTAATAAATAAATAAGATGATGAATTTTATAAAACAATAAATAATACCTATAATCTCGCCTAGAAAAATTCCCCATATTACCTACTAACTAATGTTTATTTAATTACCTAGGTTTATTTTTTAATTGTTGCGGTAGTAAATATTATATTATTATATATACTTATTAATATGTTTCACAGTGGGGTAGGGATTAATGTACCTATTTATAATTGTGCTTATAATACTTATAGATTTAAGTTCAAAAGCAATTTTATGGTAACTCCCCGCCTAAAGTGTTTTGGATCATAAGGTCAGAACCAAATAAATGTAGTCAAAAATAATTAGGTAATATAAAAGTTTAGATTAAAACTATTTGGCGTTTCTTTTGAATTTTTAATAAGTACCTACTTTTTTTTTTGTAAACAAACCATACAAAAACCAGTTAGTAATACGATAGTTACCTATATTTAAACATAGAATTTTAAATATATATTTTCCATGGAAAAAATATTAGTACAACAAAATAAATTATAATTATATACTTCATTTGTATTATTACAGTTACTGGTTCAAAAGAGTTTGGAAGAAGATTCAATTAATGGAATTGGTTGTGGAGTATTTAAGGTAGGTACCTACTTATTAATTTTATTTTAATTTTGGTTTATATTTGTAAACAAACTGTAGTTCAATCAAATAAATAAGTTCTGTTTTGACTATAATAAAACATCTAATTTTTATAATATTTAGTTAGCTTTTAAACATTATTTTGAATTGTATTACACAATTTGATATCTTTAATATTTATTTTAACCGTGTATAATTCAATATTTTTTAAGCGATACTTGTTCCCACAATATCCTGAGATGGCTCGTAAACTTTTTGCATTTCTGGTAACATCTTCTGGTGGTCCTGCTTCTTCCCATGTTATTAGTTATTCAAACTTTAAAGCCCAAACGGAGCGTTTGCTGAGTGTTTTGGCTGATGACCGCCAAGTATTGATGTACGTCACGGTGAGCGAGTCTTAATCATTTTTTATTTGTAGTTGAGAATAATAAAATAATTGGTATAATATTATGTAAGTGTTAAAATAAATTTTTTACTTATAGATCAACTATATTGAGTATAGTATGGTATCTTAATGATTTCTTTAAACAATTAAAATAAATCTTTGGAATAGTTTGCAAAATATGTATTCTCATTCATACTTCTGTAAATGTCAAAATAAATACAATTTAATTTAGCCTTTAATTTTCCATTTATTTTAAATTAAAATCCAAGCCAATCATAAACTATTAAAATGAGTAGCAATATAGTTGATGCAGTATTTTAATTTAAACATTGTTATTTAAATTGTTATACATAAAATTTTTGTTTGGAATTTTTTGTCAAATAATTATATATTTTATATTTTTATTTTTTCGAAAATTAATAACAGATAGGTGCCCTTGAAAATTTTAGTTATCTAATTTAACCTCTGTATGCTTTATTATTCTATTCGTCAATGATAATAAACGATTCAGTACCACCAGTTACTAGTTAGTATCACACAGATTTTTTTTTATTTAACTCTTTAGAAAACTGATAGTAGCTTACTATCATACTATATTATCATTTATTTTGTTTTTTAGGATCACGTTATAAAAGCATGATCATAGTATTCTGTCCTGCCAAGTTTAAATATTACATGATTAGTATTAAGTTAGTAATTGTCAGAGAAATTTAATACCATGAAACATTAGGCAACATAAATCATCATTTCGACACGTTGCATAATTTAATTTCCTAATAGGCGCAAAAATTAACTAAGATTAAAACTGTTAAATAACAACTGTAATTATATGAAGTGGTATCAAATTAACTATTAAGTTAACTATATAGTTTAATTCTGTTTATAATATCCACGGACACTTTATGATAAAAATTAAATATTTAATTTTTAATTTTGACCTTAGCAAAGTGTATTATGTACATAAGCTATAATAGTGGGTGTATATTTTTTTTTACATATTTCCGTATAAGAATTCACTAAATCTTATTCATTCCATTATAATGGATTTAATATATTCATTTTTTGGTATCTTTTAAAAACAAAAAAAGAAATTGACATTAAACTAATTTTTTACAATAGTGTAGTAATTCAGATAATAATTCTCAAATTAATGACTGGATTATTATTCGAAAAACCATCATATAAATCATATGAATCTCAAGTAATTATTCAATATTGTTTAATTTTAGTTATGAAATTTTGATGAAAATGCAATGCTGTTTTGAATTTATTAATTCAACAAAAGTTAATAATTTTAAAATTGAATATAAGTTCATTCATATCGTATCATTATAATTAAATTTTTCAATATCTCAAAAATAATATTTTATATATTCAGATTTAAATAATAATTTATTTCTATAATTCCATGAAATTTTTATATTTTATTATCTAGTTAATATTTGTATAATTTAACAAACACATTTATCGTAATTTATTATTTCTACCTATCTATTTGATTTTTATTATTATTAATTTATATACATAGGGCTCTACCCAAAATGATATATAAGTAGCTCTAAATGGCTTAATTGATCTACCCCAAAACTGACTTATAAATAGCTACTAATATTACATATATGTATTATTTTTAATATGAATTTAATTAAAATAGGGATGTATAATTTGATAATTAAATTTGTCTTTATTCAAAAATATTTGAAAAACTGTTAAGATATCTTTTAAAGTTATTTCACTTGAAAATATATTAAATTGTTCAGTTATTCATGTATATATATATTATTTTAGATAATTTTTGATTATTTATAGATGAAATAGATCCATATTTATTATACCTACACAATATTTGATTAACCTATTTAGTTTTTTTGAATTAAATAATTATGTATACATTATATTGTTTTATATAATTGTTTAATAAAAAAAGTATATACCAGGTAATAATACTTGTTAAAACAAATATTTGTATAAATATTATATTTAGTGGTCTATTGTCTTCAGTGTATATTATCAGATTTTATAAAATTATTAAATATTAATAGCTTAAACAAATATATCAGGACTTTGATCTTGTAAGTCTACACAAGGTTAAATATGGAATGTTCAGTATTTAATATGTTTTGATTAAAAACTTATTATCGGTGACTATATAATATTGTAGAATTGGCAAATTGCTTAATAGTATATTAGTAGTATATCATTGAAATGTTGTCCAATCAGCAGATTTATATTGATATTAGTAATGCTTTTTATCAATAACTTGATTTAATACTTGACAGTATCAATATTGAATGAAAATTTATACCTACTTTGGTTAACATTGTAAACATAATTTTATTAAGAAATTCTTCTGTTATTATTTGTGTATTACACATATACATATTATTATTAATTGATACTTGCATAATATATATTATTTGTAATTAATATTCGTGGTTTTGAAAAGGTAATTCAATAATACCATAGTAAGTAAATGATTATTATCTTTCATACAACTTTATTATCATAACAAAATTAGTTTTACACAATTATTTTTTCTTTTAAAATTCATAATTTATTATTTAATTTTTACATGATAATGTACAGTTATCCTTACTACAAGTATATAGCAAATTTATTATTTGTATATTATTTATCAAACTCTCATTACTGTGTTAAATTTAGTTCTTAACAAATTTATTATACAGGCTTTATAATTGGATTATCTCTTTGGATTGTTTATACATATTTAATCTCCCCATACAGTTTTTAATATAGTTTCAATTTAAACTACTTACTTGAGAGCTAATCATTTGAAAAATATGATTTAAATTTCAAAAAAAAAATATTTTTTAAATTTACATCACACGCATTATGCATTATTAAAGCAACAAAAAAAAAACTCGTGCTAATGTACCCTTGCCCTTGGTTTTTAAACACGTGTGAAATGTTCAGTAAACAATTAATTTGTTGACAGCTGTGTATATTATCATAACCACTATTATACTAAGTAGTGCCAATAAATTTTTTAATAATAAAGTAGTTAATTTACAGGATGTGTGATAATTTATGGTCTCCAATTACTAACGTACATTGTAATAAATGACAAATAGGGAGTATTATGCTCTTTAGAACAAAATAGTGTATTATAATCTCTTCCTACACTGAATAAAAGACTCATTCCTATAATTAGTTTTGGTAAAAGTTGAAGCCTTTTTTAATAAAACTTAATCATAATACCTTAAATGCCAATAAACATCATATTGAACTATTTTTGAACTTGATATGTTATTGATATTTTTATAAATGATCACTATACACTTGATGATTGATAATGGTCTTCTTTAACCATACAACACCTTAAGAATATTCCTCTTTTTTTACTATTTCTGGTTGTTAGATGTATGCTGATGGAAAAGAAGAAATTGATCAAGATCAATTTCGGGATCTACTAATAGCTGTCTATAAACTAGCAATGGATCACTATCCTGAAGGGCCTCAATCATGTCGTTTTATATTTAAAACTGTTCAATCAGTTGTTGACTCTGCAGTGAGTTTTTTTTAAAAAACTTAATTGTACCTGCTTATTTTTATTAATTTAATTGGATTTAATTTTCAGTTTCATAAAAAATTAATACTGAAAGTGGGTTATTTAACTAATTGGATTCTACAACATTGCCCACGTTTAATTGTCTTACTTCATCGGTATATTGTTCACATTTTATCAACCGGTTACAGATCCGTTATTGAAAAGTGTCCATATTCCAAACCTAATGTAAGTATATATTTTTATAATTATTTTTTATTTAGGGGAAACAATATAATAATTTTGACTATTATTCTATTTTGTTATTACCTCATTAGGAAAACGAACCTAATGTGAGTAAAGTTTACTGAATTGTTTGTAAATTACCTGTACAATAATTTTTTTTGTACTTCATTGCAGGATCTCGAATTAACAACACCAGTTCTTGAAAAAGAAAATGAGTTCAAAGCTGAAAAGAATCCATTATTGCCATTGTCTCAAGTGTGGATATTATCTACAACATTACCAGCATTATATACTCAACCAATTTTGCATTCCAAACCAACACCAAATTGTTTCAACACTCAAAACTTCTTATCAAAATTTGTAAGTTATTAACTTAAATTATATTAAAATATATTGCATGGGGAAATTCAGAGTAATTATTAGTTTTAATTGTAGTTGAGAATTTAAATTTTCTTTAGATATATAAAAATATATTAAAATAATAAAAGCTCAAAATTATTTATTATATCTTTATAAAACTATACAGAGTCCACATTACTTCACATTACGAAGACTCAAAAAATGTAATAACTAATAACTTTTATTCTGTTTAATATGTAAAAAAATTGTATTTATTTTTTTTAATAACTACTAAAGCCTATTTTAGATTCATAGCATAGCAAGGGTTTACTATGATTTTTTTTATTCTGTCAATAAGTAACTTTTACACAGGCAATTTTTGCTCTAATCGAAAAATTGCATGAGAACTTTTTTGATACATTATGAATCTAGTTAGTGCATTGGAGAAATCATTTTTTTTTGATTTTCCAAGGGGTTTTCATTTTAAGAACAATGTAATTGGTAACACAGTGGGGCGTCCTAAATATTTGCAGTTTTACCTATAAGTTGTACATGATTTTTCCCAATTATATTCAAAATTCATCAAAAAAGATCATTTGTTATTTTTCGATTGGAGCGAGTTTACTTTTCGAAAAGTTGTTTACAGACAAAAAAAAATACATATGCATAATAAAATCAAGTAAAATTGAATGCCAATTATAAATAATTATTTTTAATTCTATGATCTGGCCCATTTGATTTTAAATATCTACAAATTGGCTCTTTAGTAACTTTGAGTTGTCCATCTCTGCTATTGATAATCATAAATTTAAATTTATTTAAAAATAAAAAATAATCTATTAGATATAAGATTTTTTGAAACAACTTTGAGTTTAAATAAAATTTGAATAATTAATTATTTTGTATAATGTTCACTTTAACTGTGCTAAATTGAAAGAATTTCATGTTTTTGAAAATTTGTATGATGAGGTGTCAATTTTGGTTTTAAATTAGTGCACGGTATGCACGATATGGCGCGGCAGATCACGAGATGCGACGCGTCGTGTTCTTGTTAAGCCGCGCTAAACATTGCTTCTACTTAGGATTGGTGGGTGATCAATGATTGTCCGAGTATTAAAGCGATGTATCCTCCCTTTAAGGTGTTGTAGGTATGTATACATTGTATGATGTGATTTTCGAATTCAATAAAATATAAAAATAAATAAATACCTAATAGATGGTTTCAGAATTATTTGTACTAGGTAACCAGTATTTTTTTGAATTATAAAGTGGCATCAAAATTGTATTGTATTTTGTTAAGTTTTGACTTTTATGTTCCTTAAAGTGCTATTAACAATCAAATTTGATAAATTATTAATTTAGTGTAAAACTTGATAACACCTCTCGATTTTTTGACCTCGGAAAACACTGTTTTGATATACTGTCAAGATTCCTAACCTAGCGTGACGACCGTGACATCAAGTTTTGGAAATTGTGAAATTCATTCAATATCAATATAAGGATTTTTTAAAGTCGATCCACTTTTCATTAATCTATGAGAAAAAAAAATATTTAACTGTCTGAAAATGTAAATACGTATAAAATTGAAGATGTATAACTTTTTGTATGTATCAATCATTTTTTTAATAAATTAAAAAATACGGACATAATTCACACGATGGGTAGGCTACTATTTTAGGTGTGAAGTTGGGTAGGTAGTGGGGAAACTTAATGTATATCTGTACACAACGATTAATCATTTTTAACGAAAAACGATTCTGAACGGAGTTTAGTTAAGGACAGGCTTATACACCGCGGCGTTTTCCAACGGCCAAGCTATTAAAGACGTATCCGTCGAGCCCATAGTTATTATATCAATAATATTAACATATTCATTGCAATCGAATAGCACAAATTAATAATAGACACTCATCAATCGATCATTTGTACTAGTCAGTAATTAACTATTGTTCGTAGGAGTAGGTTTGTCATTATGCCAAAAATATTTACTTAGACATTTTGATACTACTTATCAAATATAAAATAATCTAACATTTTTCTTTACCTATATTAAAATTAACACAATATAGGTTATACGTAATGTATGTAGGTACCTATATATAAAATATTTAATTTATTTATTATTTATTGAGTAGGTAATTAAATTGAATAGATAAAATATTGTATTTATAAAATTATGATGTAAATGCAGAGTTTTCCGTCACCAGTATAGCCCATTCTAATTTAAAACAATGTAACAATAGGAATTAGCGTTTTTATTACTTCGGCGTTCGTCCGCCAAAATGAAAGCAAACCGGCGTTTTCCGCCGTGGATAAAAACGCGGCGTGGGGTTAAGTTAGGTTAGGTTACGAAACCTAACTAATGCATTTTGAATTCGACGGAAAACGCCGCAGAGTACACAGCATTCGAAACGAGGAGGAATATGCCGTGTATAGCCCTAGCCTAATAGTGTTGCTTCTTAATATTTACAAATTTCATCAAAATTTGATATTGCTGCAATTATTTTTAAGAAAAAATGTTTACATTAAACTCAAATTATTCTTTTTTGACTACATAGTACGACTTATTATGAATCTTCTGTTAAATTGTCTATCATTTTTGTTTGGTCTAACATTTTTATCCCTAGCGTACTTACCGAACAAAAATTACGTAAAATTAAATAGCTCAAAAATGGCTACGTTTTGAAAATTTTTACATCTAGAAAAGGATAGGTTAGTAATTTAATTTTTCTGTCCAAACTTAACGTCATTAAAAATGTCTTTAACTGAATAAAAACAAAACAAAATATAAATAACATTTAAAAATGTACATTTCGTACATTTTCCGTTTTTCTCATTTATTATGAAAACAGCTGGGAAAACCATTAATAAATTATTAACTACATTTTCGTTGATGATCACGTTTCATTATATTTCTTCATTGAAGCAAAACATTCATCGCAAATTCCTAATTCGCGTGAAAGTTGAATTAAAATTTTACCTTTTATATTAATCAGTGTTAGCTGAATATCGTAACTAAAATAATAATATGTAAATTCGTATTTAAAACATGTGACTGACCGTTGGTAACCCTCTTTTTAAAACCAGTTTTATTAACGGTAAAACGTGCAAAAAAAATTCAATATTTTACGATTGAATAATCGATAAATTATTACCTGTACGTATATAGGTATATTGTATGTATAGGTAGTTGGTTAAAACTAAATTCGTAACTCAAGAATAGGTAATATCGATTATAACTATAATCTCTAAAATCATCCAATCGTTTATTTACCCACGAAATAGTAATAATATTGTGCTCTTTTGTATACAAATCGATAGTTGAACAATATTGTGTTTTTTCACGATTTTTGAATTTACAAATTGTATTAAATAATGAGAAAACGGAAGTTAGAAATTTGTCATGCATCGTTTATTTCGGAATTTTTTAAAAAAAAAAAAAAAATCAACGCAAAAATATCTTATTAACTAGGTACCATTTAAAAAACGATTCTTTTCAAAGATCGGGCTTTAAATTTAAATACTCAATTTTAGTCGTCTTTACAAGATAAATGATATTTTTGAGCGAATGTTTAGATTAAAATAATTGCGCTTTAGAACTCTCGGAATTATTTTCTGAATGTGTAACTATATAATATTAACGTAATTTAAATTTTAAAATACTATAATACACCACTATCCTGTGACGAGGTAAGCGAAACTGAATAGTTTACCCTCGCCTGTCTGCTGTTCTCATTGTTTAATTGATAGTTGTTCGATAAGAATAGTTGTCGCATCCGTATTTGCTGTCCTTGATAACACGCGTTTTAAAATCCATGTCCATCAGGTAAATCCAGTAGGTAGTTTGATTCCTAGGTTAACATTATAGTGTAATAATAACAACATTGTATATTGATCTATTACTTATGTATACTTGTATAGGGGTAATTAATATATTGTTCAATATTTCCACGGGAAGTTCAAGATTGTTGTAATGATTTGTTTTTAAACTTTTATTATTTTACAGGAATCTATAAGGATACAAATATTTCAATATAAACGTGTTACGTTTAGATGTTAAGTTACAAACAAAAATGTTCCTATCTCGTTACATATATTATTATAGTCCTTATTAATCTGTACTATAGGGGATCTTCATTTGTTCGAACTGAGTAAACTAATATTTCGATATATTACGTGCTCGTATAAGATATACGAGGACAACAAATGCGGGTGTGACGGTTTTTTAAAAGTTTCCATTTGCCAAGTAGGTATATGATAAAATCCTTGTACGTCTGTCGTATCCGTCTAACTTCCCGGTCTCTCTGTTTTTCGTTTTCGTGATAATACATACATTACAATCGTTCAGTTTATTCTGTAAAACCATTGTAGACTCTCGCGTTAAATACCGTAAAATATAAATGCAATTGCCCTGTAGTAGAAAATACTTGAATCTCGTTTATACACATCTACAGAAACCTAAAATCTAGCACGCATCGAAAGTGTACTGTAAGTAGGTACTTGTATACACTTATTTGTACTCGACATATTTTATTTTATTAATATAAACAAAAATAGTATATTAGAATTTATTCGAACAATATAGGTTAGAAATAAAATGTATAATATTTAAATAAGAAACTATCGCTGTAATTTATAAAACATAAAATGTTACACAATTCAATGTCTCTACGTAAAAAAATGATCGTGGTCGTTATAATATAAGGTCGCTTGCACTCTATTCGTGGAACATTATTAATAAAAATAATAAATACTATATATAATTTCTGAGTTCATATTCCGTGTGTTCCTGAATCAATCTGATAGGAAATAGAATCTGATTGGGCGAATAAACGAATGACTGTCTCGTGGTGGCCGCTCAGTTAATTTAAGAACATTATTTTCTTATTATTTTTTTTTTTTTTCTGTAAACTCTTCTCAATTAGATACCTAATAAATAATATATTACGTAACAGTTCATTTTCAAAGAAATTTATATCTCTGTACCATTTTGTTCAAACAAATTACCTATAGTGTTAATTTTTTTTTCTCTTTGTACAAAACAAATAATTGATACACTAAATATTTAAAATGTGATAAGTCACGATGATTAAAATATGACTCACTATGAATCGTAATAATTATAAGTATTTTATATTACATTTAACAAAGTCGTTCATTAGATTTTTATTTAGATTCTCTGCGAAGCGATGAATCTAGGTTTTGGTTTTATTATGATAATATGTGATACTTTATTTTTTATTTTTTGTGTCTGTAAAACACTTCTACCAGAAATCTTGCTCCAATCAAAAAAACGGCAAGAGTGCTTTTTGTAGAATTTAGGATCTAATTGGTGTATTGAAATTACTATTCTATGTACGCAACGATAAATCATTGTTAACGAAATACGATTCTAAGAAGTTCGAATAAACATGCGTTTTGAAATGCAGTAGTTTTAAACAATTTTCGTCAACATTTGAACTTAAAACGCGTCTATAAAAACGATTACTTTAAGGTAAACTTTTTTTTGAATCTAGTAAATTGTAATTATTTCTGATTTTCCCAAATATTTTTTTCCGCCGTAAAACTAAATAATAAAACAAAATCCAAAAATATCGATTACTATAAGTAGCTCAAAAATCGCCAGAATATTTTAAAATTTTAAATTCGTAAATAATGAAACCGTTATTTTTATAGACTTTCCGGTTTTGTCTTACTTTTTTCCAAGTATTAAGAAAACTACAAGGAAAATCAAAAACGACCTCCATATGCCCTAACTAAGCAAAATTTTCTTTCAGAAAAAATGCAAGATTTCTAGTAGAATAGTAAAATCGAATATAGTAAAACTTTTACTACCTACCTCGAATAATTGGTCCGTTTTGGTTTTTCCAATTGTTATAAAAAGTGTTTGAAAAATTATTAAAAGAACCCCCATAATGTAACAGCTAGATCAAAATTTTGTTATAAAGTTTCAATAACAAAAATTCGCGCACAAATAAAACCAATATAATATTTCTCTCTCTGTTCAGGATCTGCAATCGTACTTTACTAAATAAATTGAAGCGATGATCATGTGTTCATATGGACGTTCTGAAACAAGAATAACTTTTTCGGCCACTGGAAGAATGTGTCTTTCGGCAACTTTGGATAATTAGATATTAAAATAATTAAATAATTAATTTGTTTCCGAAATACTTACAATCTTAAATGTTAATTTTTATTTTCATCATCGGGTTTTCTTGGACAACAGTTTTAAAAAAAAAAAAAGGAATACGAATCAATGTTAAAACTTGAATTCCCAACTTTACACTTGCATCGATATTTGTTTTTAATTTATCATTACATTCTGGATCTACCCTAAATTTGACGCACTTGCAAGTGCAATGTTTCCCAACCTTTTTTGACATTGACATAAAACAGCAGGAACATTTAAATAAGCTAATGAAACTCGTTAAATTTTTATCTGACCAAACGCAGAAAATATCGTAGGTACGTAAAAGTATATTTTCCAAAAGCCAATGTATCCGAGTGGTTCTAATAATCGTGTTTTGACTCTTCAAATAAAATAGTAAGAAAAATTATAATAATAAAATTATCACCTTACTAGTTATACCTTCTATTGATCTTATAAATATATCAAAAGATAATATTTGGCTCTCTTCGATTTTTATATTTGTCGATTATACGTATTATGGTTTTATTTTACCTAATATATATATAATATGCAATGAGTAAATAGTAAAATTAAACTTTAATTTAAATCTTTTTGAAAAAAATAATACATAGGTGTCAGACCGTATGTAATATATTTTATTGTTTCATTTTTTTCGTGGCTTGCTAATGATTTTTTAACAAGACAAATTGTTCATTTAACCCCCTTATATACTATTATTATATTTCAAGGATTTTAAGGTTTGTTTCGTGATTTATTTACTAAAGTACATTTCGTAATAATACACATATAATAATAGAAAGTAGTGAATATTAAAAAGTATACGTGTAAAATGTACACATACAGGGTGGTCGATTTTACGCAATACACTGACTAATTTATCTCGGAAAATTTTTTTGGAATAACCATATTGGTGGATTCAAATTACTTGCAAGTTTTAGTTCTTTAACATTTTACATTAGCCAAGCAAGTTTTTTGTCATTCCTCATGTTTCACAGTGAAACCATTGTCGACTTTTGATTTTAAAATTACGCGTCTTGTAAACAAACAAAAGTCTATACATTTTTAATTGAAATAAATTATTGAAATTTTTAATTTTGATCGGTATTCCGATTTCTAATTTGGTCTTTTTGAAATATACAGTTTTATTCTTTTTAAAAACCCAAAATTCCTTTTGTATTGCTCATTTATGTTCAAATTGAATAATAATAATCAGTAATTAGCCTAATTAAGATGGTCTAATTATTAACTACCTAGATGTAAAATAATACCATTGATTATAAACCATTTAAGTACTAATTATAAATAATGATAATATCAAGACACTACCGCACAGATAAACAAGAAAACAATATTCACTATTCAAAAATTTGAAGAGCTACATTAAGCTACGGGTCAGTGAAATTTAAATCTATAAACAAAATTATATTACTAAAATAATAATAATAATAATTGTACATGATATTACAAATAGGTATGAGTTGCCATTTGAAAATAAAAAGTATTTATAACACTTATTATGTAAATAATAAATACCTATGCAATCATTCTTAATATTTAAAATTCCTCCAAAAAACAAAAAAAAAATTAATATAATAAGCTTATTTTACAAAAAATCGACTACCATATATATATATATATATTTGAACTCTGTAATTTTGACAAAATGTACAAGTATGGTATCTTATGTAGGTATTTTATAATATTATAAATTATACTATAAAAATATATACCTATATTAATAAATAAATAAATGAATGTGACACCTGAAGTATTATGATATGTGTTTCGAATTAAAAATTCATCCTCAGATAAAATTACAAAATCAAAAAGTAAACCGCGACTATTTATACTTAAATAAAATAAATGAAGGAATACATAGAGAAAAGATTATTTATATTTCTTAACATATCTATGTCTAATTAATAACTCATTTTAAATAATCTCTCTTATTAAAATAAATTATTTCTATGCAAAACAAACAATTTGAATAATTTTACTTATTTATTTATATATATTTATTTACGAATATTAACCATTTTATAATTTTTTAAAAGATATATTTTGAATAATGAAACTTAGTAAGCCAGTTATAAATGTGACCATGATACATTATTGAGCTGTTAAGGTCAATGTCGACTGTCCTTGACGAGTAAATGTAAATCCATATAGACACAGATGATTTTCCGATGACGGTTTTCATTTTATTTAAACAATAATTATTTTCTGCTTACGTTGAAATAAAAAAAATTTGGTGTACAATATTATATTTATTGTATTCAGATGAACCAGGTATCTTAATATTTTTGAATACAATGAATATTTAAAAGACAATAATATAGACTATATTTTAACAAATTTCCTCTAACATTTACCAAAGGTAATATTAGTTATTGATTTTTTCTGTTGCTTTGGATTTCAAAAAAACATTTTATAGTGTGACTGTGTAAACACTAAACAGATATGTGTACATAATATATGACCAGATGCATTAATATGTAGCCGGCAAGATAAGCTATATCTAGACCTTTTACATACTTGTCTATTATTACTCATCTATTACATGTCTATTCTTATAAAAATACATTTCTACAGACAATATTTATATAAATGTACTTATAATGTAAACATTTTTATAACACAATACTGTAATTGAATTGTAATAATTTTAATTAAATTTTTTATTGACTTTTTAATAAATTGTTTGATTTAAGTACAATATTAATATTGTTATTAAAGACTTTAACACTTTTAAATCTTTCAATTTAATCATCTGTATTTATTTACTTATAACAACATGATTAATATTTTATGAATAGTAATAAGTAGTAATTGAGCTACATTAAGTGATGAACAAACTGAAATCAAAGTTAGTGAACATTTTAAGTTGGTATAAAACATGTTTTGTTTCTTATGTGACAATAAATATAATATGTAGAACTAATTATATTTAACTAATTTTATGAACAAGCATTTAAATTAAAAAGCTTAAACTATTAATTAATAATCAGTATCCATCTAAATGTAGTAGTACAAAAAATAACTGCACATTTTTTTCACAGCATACACTATCTACTTTTTAAAATAATTCATACTTATTACCCTGGAAAATCCACTAATTAAGATGGTCTATATTTTTCAATTTAAAGTTATTAAAATAACTTTTAATATATATTCATAAACCCTAAAAGTAGTTTTCTTGATTAAGCTTATTTAATTTCTTTAGTGCTTTAATCAGTTTTTCATTGAAAATTTCAAAATTGTATTATTGATAATTTTGTCACTTCTTCAATAATAGTTAAGTATAATAACAGTTTAAGTTAAATACAATATTTCCATAATATACTCATCATTATACTTTTCTGTACAATTTTGAAATCGATTAATTGATTGATAGATTGATTTTGAAATCGGGTTGATAAATGTGTGTAAAAAAATTGAAATACATAAAAAGAAATATATATATGTATACTATTACAGATTAAAATTATTTTGTGTGTATCTTAATAGATTTAGAATATAAACATTAAATTAACTGTCTTAATAACATAAATCAAAGTTTTAATATTCTAATTTTTGTATTCAATTAATTTCCTGTGTAATCTAATAATTGTTGAGTTGTACACTATTTAAGTGGTTCTTTATATACCTAGATAAAACAAAAAAAAAAAAATTAGTTCTTACAATTAGTGGATCCACTTACAAAAACTCTGTGCATTTTAAATATTTTATTTTAAACAATTTAAAATCAATACAAGTTTTCTACAATATGTAGATATATTGAAAACTACTAAATCCTTAAAGTAAACTAATCTCTGTTTAAAACTGTTAATCAAGTTACGTTATATTATATTTTCTTTTAACTTAAAAATAATAAAACACTCTATGATGTGTGAAACTAGTGTCAAACATTCAGTAGAAGTCCGTATCCAAATTCCTTGTACACACAACCTATTTTTTACTGTTATAACTGAACCTCGATAAATAATAATACATGTTTTATTCTCGGGACAAACAATATTTTAAAAGTGAAAATATTATAAAGTAGTAACTAAAAAAGGTGTGGCTGATGAACAAACATGTCAGTTTGTCAACACTTGTGTTGTTTAGATATTATATAAAGTATAGTGTGTAGGTACTGTGTAGTATTTTTGATTGATGGGAGAGAAACCAATTGTATTTTATAAATAAACAAGCACAAATAAATAATGAAGACATATTTTAGTCAAATGTGGGTCATATTCATACTCTACTGTTGTTTTCCTTAAAATTGTACAAAGTACATTTATGTAAATCAACAAAATAGTATTATTTACTTTTTTTTTCCAAGGCGACTTGTGTCATTTTAATCATTAGATAAATTAATTCTTGTTGTGTATACTCTTTAGAATAGATTATAATATATATAATTGATTACCTATTTGAAAGAGAGCTAATATTTAGTTGCAATTTCATCATACATTATTTTAGTCATGTTCTAAAAGACACTAGTAGTATGATAATAATAATTAGAGGGTATTAAATTTGTGAAGTAAAATATTTATCAAGTATAATTCAAGATCAAATGGTGTTAATTATTGAACGCTAGAATACAAAATTAAATGTAAAATAATGGGTGATGCGTGTTTTTAGGGTTTTTAATTGGCACCACTTTATAAATTATAATAATACATTGGTGGGTAACTTAACTAGTAGTTAAACATGTGAATAGGGTCACCGCCCAAAGTAAACTTGTTCATTATAATCAATATAATTCAATTTAATAGGAAATAAAATGTATAAAATTAGTATTAGTTGAGTAGTTGGGTAATTAGGTATTATTTAAATTGGTAATAGAAAACAAGCTGAAAGCATCCGAGCTTTTATGTTTTATATTTCTATTACAGTTGGACTTTTCTTGTCCATCACATTGGACACTATTGTACAACAGCAATCAACATGGTATCGGAAGTAATAGGTAATTATTTCTAAGTAACTATAATATAATATAATTTTTATTACCATTTAAAAGTGTGTTCTTGTGCTTCCCACGTGAATGTTTTATAAATTCCGTGTGGCTGCGTTACAAGATAACTGAGAAATATAAACTTTTTTTTTTTTGGTTTTTTTTGTTTTTTTTTTTACTATATATATACAGATTTTTACATCACGTGTTAAGTTATCGAGGACCAACATTAACGTTCTTGCGAGGTGATGAGGGTGTTTTGTTTTGCATGGGAGCCACGTCTGAATGGCGAGAGTCACACCAGTATTGGGGTGGAGATGATACTATCATTTTAGAATTATTACCACATTACAAAGTAATTAACCGTAAGTATTACAACACAGTATCATCAACAAACTCCTTTATGAGCTTCGAAATAATTATTCTTGTTCATATTGGTTCTATGGCCTTTAAAATTAATTTCAATCTTTTAAATTGATTGATTGATTGATTTTTTTTTTTTTTTTTTTAAGGTGGTCCAAAGTCCATGTATCTGAACACATCCATCCGAGGGTATCCAAAAGGTATCAGAGCCGGTAGTGACCCAAGAAAACCATCTATCCAAGTTGATGAATCTTTCCAACATGTTGAACATTGTGGGATACCGTACAAGTTAGAGAGTGTTGAAGTTTGGGGATGTGGTACACCTACAAATAGGTATAATCATATTTCCATCTCATATATTTTTCTACTAGTGCATAAACATTTGGCCAATATAATGGTTGAAATATTATTTTAATTAAAATTATAGGGAAGTACAATTGGATATAAAGAATTGGCAAATCAAAGAGGCAGAGAAGAATCGTAAATTAAAATTAACATCAAAAGAATGGCTAGATCACCCAGATAGATACTTATTGGAATTAGCAGGACGACAAACATATTCAACATAATAAAAACAGCAGTTAAATCAGATTGTTCAATGTTTTTTTTCAGTCATCGTGTAATATTTTTGTATGTGTACATAGGATATTTTTTTAACTAAATTTCAAACTCGTTAATACTTTAATTTCTCGACGTACTTACAGTTCCAAGAGTATTATTTTATCAGTATTAACCGGATATCAAAATAATTTATACTGTGAATTAAGCTTCTTGAAAAAATTGACCATAGTTTCAACTATAAATAATTAAACTAATATAAAAAAAAAAAAGGTTAAATTGTTAAAAGTTGAAATAAATCTCTATATTATTTATAATTATTTTTTTATAATAAAAGTATTTAATATTGTGTCATCTAGTTTAATGAATAAACAATATTTTGTTTAATTTTGAATTTGAGTTGAATTCAATTTAACTCTTACATTTTAAATATCCCATCCCCAAACAATTTACAAAAGTTTTAATATAAAATTAGACTCATTATTTTCTATTAATATTGAATTTGATATACAATTTTCTTTCTTCTTATCAAATGTAAAGGTTAAAAATTTTATTTTATTAAACCAAAATTTTTTTTTGTCAAGTGATAAATCTGTGATGTAATATTAAAGCTCATTTAATGATCGTTTAAGCAATTTTTATTAAATTACTGACGAATTTAAAAGCAAGTCTGAGGGATTTTCAATCTCAAAAATGTATTTGAAGAGCTATAAAAAAAAATCTATTTTTTGTAATGTATTCTTGTGAATTAATTTTTTTTTGTGTTTATTTATATAAAAATATTAAAACGTAAGAAAATACTTGTATATTTATTTTGTATGGTGTGTAAACTCGTGTTTATAAAAATATATTTTGGAGATAAATATAAGATGAATATTTATTTACAACTCTTTTTCACTCATAATTATTAAATCACTTTATCATAGAAATTCTTATTATATACAAACATTTTTTTTTTTTTTTTTTAAATAATTTTATTGTAAAATTTTCATTATAATCTTATAACAATACTTTTTGCAATAAAAAACAAAAAAAGAGTATATTTGTATTGTTGTTGTTCTGTGTTATTCTATATATTTATACCATAGTTTAAAGACATAGATGTTTTTTTTTTTAAGTTTTCAATTTACATTATTTTTGAACTGTCGTAATTGTTTGGCACTTGTTCAACAACGTATCCACATTGTGTCTTAAACAAAGCAACATAGAAATCATAAGTTAATTATTATTTATAATTCTTTTTTAAATTTATTGCCAACCTTATTCATGTCTGTTCTATATGATGATGTTTCATTCATTCTTGAATTTGGTTTCCATGCAATAGCCGCAATGGTATTCTGAATTAGGTAAGCTGGTAGTTTTTGCTTAGGAATTAACAATTATTTTAATCAATTAAAATAAAATAAATAGTACATAATATTAAATGATTATCAACATCATGCTACAGAATTATTAAGTTTTCAACTATCAAATGTAGACAATGTATAGATAGAGATGAGGTAGGTAACAGATTTGTCATTGTCATGTGTAAGAATATTTTAATAAAATACAAATTTTTTTGGGGAGAAAATGGATGGATTTTGTGAAACTGAATCTCAATAAATTGAGAAACTAACATTAATTTATACAGCTCATTGTTCAAAATTGTGTACATTTTTTATTTAAAATTTTAATTTGCTATCAATATAGGTAATACATATACAGGGTAATCAATTTATGATTAGACACTATTATCTTGGAATTAGTTTTTTAGAACATCTTGTAAGAAACAAGCAACTCTAAATTGTTACATCACTGTTTTTTTCGAGGGTCAACCACTATCAGCTTTTGATTTTCAAATACTTAACCTATATTACAAATTCCATAAATAAATAAAAATTTTAATTAAATGAAATTTTTAATTTCCGTCAAACCATTGATAAAACATTCCACTTTTAAGTTTGCAGGTTTAAGAGTTAGGAGAGAGGTTGTACTCAAATGCACTGCCAAACATAATATAATCCCCCACTATTCTCCTACCAAAACTTAAAAGTGTAACATTGTGTCAACGGTTTGATAAAAATTAATAATTTAAACCAAAACTTCATCCACTTATGGAATTTTTAATATATATGTTATTGTTTGAAAATTAATAGTGGTTAATGTTTATTTATTTCGCTCTTAAAAATAACATAAATGTAACATTTAAGAGCTACTGATTTTATAAATTATTCAAAAATAATTGATAATGACGAGTGTCTTACTCCCTTATTGATGATTGATCACCCTTATATAAACACGTAATAAAATATAAAATCATGAGATATGCCTGCCGTCTGTCAACAGAAATAAAAAAGCGATCCTAAGATAATCGGGTTGGGTGTAGCCACTGTTATAAGTAATTTAATGTTCACCTGTAATCAATGATAAACCAATGCTAACGAAAAAACGATTCTGAACGAAGTTCAGTTGATAATGATGCTTTATCAACAATATATATGTCATATTATTGTAAAATAATTAAATAGGCATTACATATTATCTTTAAAAATATTTTTTTAATCTTCCATTTTTTCACATTTGCTGGGAAAAGAGAAAATCGAAAAATGACCTCCTTAAAGTACCTTTCCAATTAGATTTCCTTTAAGAAAAGTGCTACAATTGTAAATCGGAGCAAAATTGCTAAAAGAAAATTTGTTCACAGAAAAAAAAAGGCCGTAATATTTTTAACCAATACCTACATTTCTTACATTTTTCCGATTTTTTTTTCAGCTTTTCACATTCGCTGAGAAAATCGAAAAATGACCATCCTAAAGTACCTCCCCACATCGATTTCCTTTTAGAAAACGTGATCCACTTAAAAATTAGAGCAAGATTTCTGATAAAAAAGTTGTCCGCAGGAAAAAAAAGTAAATATCTTTGTAAAACCATAAGCTTCTTCGCTCCACTCAGAATCTAAAAGTGGAAAAAAATGTAATTCTTGTGACCATGCACTTACTTCGAACAGCGGCCTAGTGAATCGCGGTACGTCTGTGTAAAGTTTGATTTCTTCCAGATGAAACGTCTTGCACATGGGCGACGGTTGTCTGAGAATGATTTTCAATTTTGAAACATTGTTCCACGCCTGTAATACGGTAATGTGTAAACAATAACTTAATTATTAAGTACCCACCTACATTACTATTGTTATAGAAAATTATTATAAAAAAAAAATAACTTTGTTTCGTTGTACGAGTCTGAGTGTAATAATAATATGATAAGTAACGGTGTGCCATCTGAATCATTTATAACTCGCAATTCAAGTACCTATTTATTGTTCATACCCAAATCAAGTTAAATTTTAAAAATGAAATTTGTAGGACCCTTCCATTGACTTAAAAATACAAAAAAAATATGAACCATATAATATCGAAATGCATAAATATCAGGCAAGTTACAAAGAAAAGCTTGATGTATTGATTAAAAATTGGCTCCTTATAGAATCCAGCTTTTAAATTATCTATTCCCATAGTCGAGTTGGTACGAGTAGACGATTTTACTTTTTATTCACAATTTTTGTTTGTTACCTTTGTAGAAGTACCTACCAATGCATATAGGTAATACACAACACGCGTATGAACTGTTTTCATTATGTATAATTCAATAATTGTGTACGTATAATGGTATCTACATCGAATGGAAAAAAAGACTAGCTATATAGAAAGTTCAGTCTAGTATAGTCCAGTCCAATACGGATAAATTAAAACCATTTTGCCTGTAATCGTTGGGTATTAAACAAAAAAACGATCAGATCTCAAATTATATATCTAGGTATTAACTGTTAATATTTTATTTAATATGTATCGCACATTCGCATTAGTGGCGCCCAAACTGTTTTTTTAATTAATTCTTCGGCTACACATTGTATTTTGGGTGGGTGGGTTGTTCCTGGGATTTAGGATAATCGGGCAGAATGGGTATAAACATTCAAAAGTTATACCTACTTTTAAGTTTTTAAGTAAGTAGTTAAATTTAGATACAAAAGTTTTTGAAGTGGGTACTGGGTGATGGTGGTTTTGAATTTCAAATTCTGCTACGCCATACAAATTTAGTTTAGGCACCACTGTATCGCACCTCTGTGGAAAACAACGAGAAATAATCTTGGGCGCCGTTCTCGTAATGCGGCCGTTTCATCAAAATCCGGTTCTTGACGCCTACCTCCCAGTTTCTCGATCCCATCGACGGACCTTGGGCGTTTGACCGCAGCAGCAAAACACTCACGCTCGCGGTATAATAGTTTTTGAACGTTATTTCGCCTACCTACAACACAATATAATAATTTTACCTATGCCTATAATATAACGTTCAATTCTTCATACATGAAGAATGTATTATTGTGGAGACATTATGATTATTGATTATGTATAATATGTAATAGATATTAGACACCATCAGCTATCTCCATCGACCATCAATATACTGATTTTCATTCTTCATTGGGGGTCCGTTTTAAAATTTGCCACCAGGACATTGTTTTAAGTAGGTTTTCTGTAAACACAGTAAATTCTATTGACTTTTTTTTTACTCCAATGACAAATTTAACTCTGTGTTGATTTGACTGGTTTAACATAACAAGTTGTACTTAGTAGTCAAAACAAAAGAAAAAAAATTTAACGTAATAGAGGTAATAGCATTTATTTCTTTTATAAACATTTGAAGTTAACATTTCAACGAAAATCGTAAAAATTACTGAATTTTAAAACATGTTTGATCGAATTTCGCTCAGCATTTATCAGTATTTATCGTTGCGTAGTATTTTATACTTTCCCAACTTTCCACTTATAACAGAGGCACACCTAATAGTTGAAAGCTGTATCAGTTAATTTTTTTATTTCACGTAATTAAGTACAAATGTACAATTTCATTATATAGGTACGCACAAATATTTCATTTATACATAACTCAAACCTGTCATTTTATGATTTGGAAATGTTACACACATATCACGTAATCAGATAATAGGTTATCTACAATCAATGTGATTAGGTAATCATCTAGTAATAATATTAACAATAACTATAGCTATTATAATATTATTACAATATCTACCGATTTTAGTCAAAGTACAATGGAATGTAGTGGTCCTGGAAAAGAATGATATGTCACCTAGATCCCCAGTCAACTGCTCCTTGTGATTAACTAGATTTCCATAGGTCATCTAGATTTTTGTGAATGGCCCCCTAGATTTCCATAATCTAAACAATAAGGAAAATATATAGTTGACAGGAAAACCATAATGTAAATGACCTAGATCTCTCGTGGTTAACTAGATCTAATGGCTTGCTGCAGATTGATAAATTTTTGATACTGAATTGAATTTAGTATACCACTTACCATCCCAATACTCACAAGTGTAAAATATTCACCTATATTCCCATGGCTATCTAGATCCTAACCGTGTGATTTAGATTTTAGGGATCTAAATGGCCGTTCACATAGATCTGGATGACCCGAGTTGATTTAGTTGACAAGAGAACTAATTGCCCTATTGTGGGGATCGAGTTAACCAAAGTGGAATATAGATAACCACTGAGATCTAATTAACCGAGGATCTATAGTGTGTGTTTTATTTCTTTCTGTTACTCTGTGTCGTAATTCGGTTAAAAATAAAAGTAAAGACCAGACACTTTCACAGAATATTAATATTAGCTTTTTTATATACATGTGTTAAACATTTTCAAAACATTCTGTTGATTTTTGAGCTAGATATTTATAGGCATTTTATATTTTCGAGTATTCTGAATTGACTATTTTTTTTAAAAATTAAAATTAATAACTTAAATGACCTAAATTATTATCTATTGTTGAAAATTGTATTTGGGATTGTGACATATTCATACCCATCATAATATTAAACAATTGTTTATTATTTATTTATATTTACTAAATTGGCCCAAGAAAGACTAGCCCACCGGCCCAGGGAGATAATATATCTCATTAACTCCCATGGGTAATCTGCTACTGAATGCCGATTGGATTCAAAAAATTGTCAACTTCGGTATGCCACTGGATCTAGTTGACTCATAGAGATCTAGTTAACCACGAGGAACTAGAGAACTAGTGATCTTGTTGAAAGGAAATCTAGGTCACCATTAATTATTACATAGTCATAGACTTCCTGTCTACATATATATTTTATGTAGCTTATTCGTGTTACTTATTCGCTTACTGTACATTACCTTCGACGGTTTTTGTAATTTGAGTTCTATATACGAACATCCCGTCAGCACTTTTTGTTTTTTGTGTATGTAAATCGGCACGGGACCTTTGACGGTGAAATCCAACGACCGGGACATCGATGGGCAATACGACAGCGAATATTTCAGTTTTGGTCTGTACGCCAACAAGCCACACTCATTATGTAAGTAAGTATGTAGTAAATACAATATAATATTAATATTATTAATAGTTTAGTGACTGTACACTGTATAGTGATAGTTTAAAATATTGAAACAATGCATAAATATATGCGAGTTCAAACCACGATTGGTACGATTATTAAAGATCACGATACAAAAATATCGTTAATCTTTGTTTATCGGTGTGAATAATGTCCAATCATGGCGAAGAGAAATCGTAATATAAATAATAATATAATAAAAATAGGTCAACGAATCGATATGATAATATATTATTTTTATACAAAGGTATTAGATACCTCATTGTACGGTGTTCGTCATGCAGTTTTTCTTTTGTCTGATCCATTTTGCGTAGGTGGCGACGATATGGTAACGAGTCCGATATAGAATCCAGCCACTACCTAAGCCACATCAGCGACGAATTACCATTTTTAAAAATAAATCATTGACATGGTAGGTACCCACCCATAAATTACAATACATAGGTAAAGTATATAACCGTCGTTTTTCAGTTGGATCAATACTCTGTATTTGTGAGAAATTATAAACGTCCTCATGGAAACCGTATACGATTCAATATATATATATACAGGGACGGAATACCGTGACGTCTGTCGAGTTGCCCTCACCGCGGTTGAATCGTTCCAAACAATTTGTGAGTTATAGCATTTTAACTGTAAGTAAATTTAAGTTCAATCCCGGAATTTGTAAATTGACCGTATTCCCGCGGTGAGATATTGAAGTTTTATATTAATTACTAATTAAGTTCGTGGATTTTTATTTATGTATAAAAAGACAATGGGCGCCACTGGATATAAGTTCGTGAGACCCGTGAAATCACAACTTAAAATATTTATTATAAAACATAATATATTATAATAATATTGTACTATAATATGAAGACGTATATAAGTATATTATCTTAATGGATTTGTTTATTGTTCTCAGTGATTGTTTGGCGATTCTGAGCGAAGCGAGACTAATATTTGCGGTCGGGATGTAGATTTTTTATAATCGGCGCGCAGAAAATATAGGAGAAGGAAGCGTAATATTAGGTGTTTGTGCCACCAGCTGTGTTTATAACCTGCTTCACCTGTGCGCTATAAGTTATAACGGCTCTTGGCTTTCAATAATAAATATAGAAAATAAATGCATAAATAAAAATACAATTAAGTAGTTAATAAATGCGTCACCTGGAATATTATGATAAGTGTATTATACTCCAGGCGACGTATTCATTCATTTATTTATTTTATTTAAATATTTATTTACGAGTATTGACTATTTTAACAATTTTTTTTTACTTAATTATTTTATTATTTCAATGCTAGTTTCTTCACGGTAGGTAATTTGTTTGTCAGAAGAAGTTGCCGGAGCTCGCGGACCCCGGGTTCGCTGGACCTGTTGCACGTGCACGCGCCGCTGGGGTATATTTTTTGGTTCTCTTATGAGAGGTGCACGTATTTCTGAGGGTGAGTTAAAATCCCCCGCCATCTCAATGAAAAAACGTTTTTTATAAACTAGAATCGACATTATTGCCATCGATAGTTTAATTTTTTTTTTTTTCAATTTTGAAAGACATTATTTATATTTTTAAGTACCTATAGTTAATACATAATGATAGTATGCGTGATATGCATTTTTCAAGAAAAGTGTTCGAGGAGGAATTGTGCGAGCTGTAGCCATATAGATAACACCCACCACCTGCACCAACGTTAGTAATATTCTTAAATAACAGTAAGTAACTACTCGTGTGCCTAAATTATATATTTCAATTGATAAACAATTACTTTTATATAACTATTGCTCATTACTTAATGACTATATGAATCATCGGCGAAACCTAGATTTATTTTCAGAGGGGTGAGGTGGTTTGAATTTTAGAAACATTTCTGGATAGTTTATTGAGACAGCGTATTCGAAATTTTAAAATAAATAATTAGGCGCATGCACAGGAGGGGGGATTACTTCATGAAAATTATGATGAAAGTAGATTTTTAATAAAGTCTCAAAAGTGGTTTCCGTCAATGAGGAAGATAAATACAATTTCGGTTTTATTTTAATTTTATTATTAGATAGTAGGAATTTATATTGTTATACGTATTTGTCATTTCTAATTTTTTATGGTTTTTCTTGTTTTATAAAATAATAACTGATACGGCAACATTGCGTAGTCCGCATTATCATCGCAATAATATGAATTACGTTATCGTTTAGGGAGTGTTCACTGAAAGAAAAAAATTGAATGTCCAATTAAGTAATAGGCACCTAAAAGGCTAAAAATGAATGTTATAGAATATTAATTAATTATTTTTAACGAAAAATATCTAACTCTACAATTGAAAGTATGTAAACTTCTTATTTGTTATAAGAGTGTGAAAACGTAAAACCAGTTAAACCCCTACCCCCGAAATATGTTTTTGCAAACGCACCCGCGGCAAATAATACCTATGCAACTACTGTAAGCGCATTTACGCCATGAATTCCCTACGAAAAATTAGTGAAAAAAAAAAATTTCAAATTTCGGGGAGGTTATCACCGCCAAACACTCCGCTGATAAGGACGGGCCGCGTGTGCCTGAATTTAATAATTACTAGTGAACATAATACAGTCTACGGCCCTGCGGTGGCTCTGTAAAATATTATGTGTAGCCACGAACTTATATACATGTGTAAAGTAACAAATTAATCGATGAAAGGAAACGACAGATTTTCGGTCTGTTACGTGGGATACGTGCACGTGCGGCGAAACGTCGTAATAATAATAATCACGGACGGCCCCGCGAGGTTTCCGGGCGGTTGGGGAGCCGGGGGCCCGCAGGGGAGGGGAGTCTCGTATTATTTGTGCGCGTGGACGGGATTGCGCCGAGTACAGGAACCGGGCGCGTCGATCGATGCAGCCGACGGTGCAAAACCACCGGGAGCTGATGCGTGCGGGAGAAATTTGCCAACCGTTCGGCGCGTCCGGGACGCTGGTGGTGTACGTCTGCAGTCTGTATATAATAAATTTAACAAATCGATACTCGGGTCGACCTTGGCGGAGTTACCCATGGAAACTGCAATCGTTTTTCGTTATGGTCGCCGGTTGCGCGTGCGTGTACCGTCTAACGACTACTGCGTACATTGCATTAGCCGTATACTTACATAATATCGTAAAGGGGGTTTTTTTTTTTTTTCGTGCGATCAATTTACAGGGCGTCTATATTATATATCGCTCGGGGATCGTTCATACGGTACCTATTGGGATGGGGGGGGGGAGGATATATTTCCCGCTTCCATGACCAATTTCCCATCGATATATAATAAATAATAATTATAGCTGGGAATGTGATTCTCTTTGGAGTTAATATTTACTCCAAAAATTCGCTTAAAACTAGAAAACTTGTAAAATAAAACAATTCTTTTTGAACTGAAAATTCAAAATTATGTACCTATTTAAATGTACTAAACAAACCGTCTTTACATAACAAAATCATTTGGCCACCACTGATATAAGACGACGTATAAAAAGATGTTAATTTCAGTCGTACATTTTAAGAGTTACTGTTGACTACTGGACTATACCTACCATTAATCAAGGCTTGACTTGAAAAAATAGCGTTTCTGTGCACTACTTAATTTTGGGTCAAATTTGTATTAAACAAAAGTTTGATAAAAATTAAAAGAAGTAAAAAAAAGTATCACCAAACATAACTGTTTCGCAATAATATGATTTATTGTCAGTAATGATAAAGAATTCAGTTTTTCTTGTGTTCAAGGAGAATACATTCAAATTTTTTTGAAAATGATAAGTGTATAATACAGTTAATGAAAAAATATGTTTACATTTTGTTCCATAATAATTGCTTATTCATCGTTAGAGAATACAATTTGTATTTTTTTTTAGGAGGGGAGTATAAAAATTCGGTGCTGCACGATTGTGCCCGTTTTACCTTTTTAAAACGCAACACTGTTCCAAAAAAAATATGTGTTGTCCTTTTTTGACCCAATTGTGTAGTATACAATACGATCGATGGCCTTGCTTAATCATACATGATATAATAAATAATTTAAAGGATATTTCATTTTTTTTTTCTAATTTTGCGCTATATTATAATTAGGTATAATATGAAAACACATATTTATTTAGAAAATATGACGAATTCGTTGAGGATAATTAGTTCGTAGCATTTTGACTGTATTTTGATCATGTATAAATACTTTTGAGTAAGTAGTATATTGTTGCGTACTAATGAACCAATGGAAAAATCCCGCTAAGAATATTTGGACCAAAGAGAAATGAAGAAGGTGGCTATAAAACAAGATCAAATAGAGAACTGAATACTTTATTTAATGAGCCCAATATAGCGTTTGCAAATTCTATATCATTTGTAAATTCTCTATAACGCGCTACTCAATAATAAATTATTTAGTTGGATACTTTGTTTCTGAAGGGCGATGTACTACAGCATGTGTAGGATGTTAAGTAACATAGTAACTTGTCTCTCTTGAATATATGTACAAAAAAATACAAATTGTTTTTGAATATTACTCATAGTACCAAATTTATTTATTTATGCGAGGGGAATGGATTTGGATGTGTTTTCAAAGCACTTTGGCGCATTGGTTTTTATAAAAATCCTCTCTGTGGATTTATACTTATGAAAATCAGCTTTTTTGATTTAATATAGAATATAGTACACCTACCTACGCACGAATATAGAAATCGATGCATCAACGAGCAGCAACACCAGCGTTCAAAAGCAAAGGGGAGTAGATATGTCGTAATATAATATCATACGTATACACATATGTTGTTATAAAAATCAAAACTTATAAATAAATATAGATATGAAATATAGACACATATATATATAGAGGTTATAATAAAAAAAAAAACCCGTGTTTTAGCGAGAAAAATGTATGGTTTTTTTGGGAGTGATTTTGCGAATGTCCCCTTCATAACCGTATTCATAAACCTTACTTACAGGGAAACTAATTTTCACAACAGTGTTTTTCTTGGAAAAAAAAATGTGTGCGACGGGACCATTGATTTTCTTATCTAGGTCGACGAAAGTCCTGATGCGTCAAACATAAATTATTGCAATATTTTGCAAGGGAAAAAGGAACAATAATATGTACCTATAGTCGTGTAAAAAACCACGACTGTTTTTCTTACGAAAAAAAAAACACTCGTTTCATAAACGATATACAACATTAAAATAAAATAGTAAACTATACAATATCCACCCACAATATAAAGTACTCTGAAATTTAAAGTCCTACGTTCATAGAGAACAATAAGTACCTTGAAATTGTTGGTCTTTTCAAGTGTATAATATAGTGTTTCAATACTGCGTTTTCCATAATATAGGTACACTTCAATCTGAATAATACACAAGTGCCTACAGATTTTCAGTTTGTAATAGAATAGCCCGGTGAATGTTTGTGAACATTTTATGTGTGAAAGTTCATTTTGCGTACCTATTTTTTTTTTTTTTTCTTGTATAATATACACCGATACACCCCCAGTACACCCCCATACATAATATTATACACTGTACGTATCAATACTTACAGAAAACAAACTCTGTTGTGTTCCAATGATATCTTATTATTCTTATTAGTATGGATTATAAGCGAGTTTATTTTAGTTTTTTTTTTTTTTTTCAAAGGCAGGATTTATTTGCAGTGGCTTGAGTGTACGACTTATTGTGTTCAGTCTACATTTACCTACTTTACCTGTCCAAATTACGCATCCCTTACATTACATTATACGTGTGTAATATATAAGTTTTCAAAATAACTGCCTATATCTTATCCCTATAATTTAAGAATAATTCTATTACTTATTGAACACATAATAATAATCGGAATAAGTTATTCGTATAAAAGTTAATATATAACTATACTTAATTTAGATATTATATTATATATCCACTATTGTATGTTTTAGCACGGTGGCTGTATTACAGGTTGCTGTCTGACACAGGCAGACAGATCAATACATCCAAACAATATTATTATTTAACGCACAAATTATTACCATGTCAGCAACGTTTATTTAAAATCTAATAATTTAAATATTATTTTAACTGCAGATGATAAATAAATTATACCTACCCTACCCTTGTTTTTCATATATTACTACAGTTTATCCAAACTGATACGTGGAAGTAAGTCTGTCTGTTTCATTTCCACACCTAAACCCCCGAACCAATTTTGATGAATTTTCGGTACCTATAGAGATAGATGGGACCTTGAAAAAAAAACATTTTTGTCACAAAAATAAAACTTGAAGGGAATGAAATAGAGGGTCAAAGTTTGTAGGCATAGTAAGTTTGTAGTTTTACAATTATATCAAGTCAATAAAAGGCAAATATAATGTTTCTGTCCAAATTGCAAGTACCTACAAAAATTTTAAACTAAATTACAACAATAAAACATAATTGAAAATAAATAAAAGGATTATTTTTACATTATAAACTGCAAACGAGTGAAGTTAAAAATAAAAATTATGGGTTAAAATTATAGTAGGTAATATGTTTACATCCAATCACAAATTTTCTGGCCTAATTACTTAGTTAATGTACTTTGTTCGACCTATTACACATCTCCTTTAATACTTACACACGATTGCTGTATGTTCTCTCTCTTACTTGTATGCATATAAAATACAATATACATACTAATTTCATTGCTTACTTACAAGATTAATAATGGTAATAATTAAACAATCATTTACGTACACTACACTGATTGCTAAAAGGTGATTAAAAATAACAACAGTTACATTATAATCAAATATATATATATATTTTATATTAACATTTAAAAAATAAACAGTCTGAAATAAAATTTATACAAAAGATTAAATTTCCAGTCATAATAAAAACGGAAATATCTCTGAAACTTATGTTCATTCATAAAATACTAAATTAAGTTTTCACATTCCAATAACCAAAAAAGTAATTAGTATTAATGCATTTACAACAGTACCAAAATAATTAATTTATAAAATAGTTGAACATAGTAAAAAGTGCAAAAAAAGAAAATAAGAATTATTAAAATTATTTTATGTAAATCTAATAAAAATAATAATAATAATATTGTTCAAAAGGTACAAACTCCTAAGAGTGGCAGCCAGTTAATTAGTTGTTGGAGCTGTTTTCTAAGACGTGGCTGGTTGCCGCAGCTCTAAACAAAAAACAAAGATAATAGATACCTAATTTATAATAAAACTGCATTTTTCATTTTTGGATAAAAGTTACTGGCGGTTGCCACGAAGTACTCCTTTCGGAGCCATACAATTACCAGCCACCATATAGATCAATTATAAGAAACTCCACTACAAAATTAATATTTGATCCTTAACCTGGTGGCTGGACATAAGATAACTTTGATTTGATTATAAATATAAATTAAAAACAATATCAACCAAAAATAGTAAAAACATACCACAAAAATTAATATTTATTATATATACATGCAGTTGTTTATTAATACTTTACCTAATTAATTAATTATTTTGTTTGGTTTTTTTATATGCCATGTCATAATTAACATATTGTGTCATCACTGCTGTTAAGACAAATTCAGAAGAGTAGATACCTGAAACAAAATGAATTAATATTTAGGTTAAATCCTGAGTGGAGTGTGGAATGTATTAGTTTTACAATGTCTATTTTTTTCCTGTGAACACTTTACTACCATAAATCGTGCACAGATGTTCAAATGTAACACTTTTTCTGACATGAAATTTTATCTGGGTGGTAATTCAAGAGAATATTTTTTTTAATACTTGAATAGGAAAAATATAAATGTATTGATTTTTTTATATAGATAGATTTACTTCAATAATAATCTTAGCATTAAGCTTGTACTAGTATGTTAGGGCCACTAAAAATAATAATTTTACCAATTTAATGTATGGAATAATTAAGAAAATAAATGTAATTTTTTGGAAAATCCTAAATGTAGTTATAAAATTCAACATTAACATATTACTAAACTAGCCATTTTTTATTCTTTTCGGTAAAAAAAATTGAACAGTGAAAAACTAGACTTAATACAGACTTATAAGAAAATGGCATATTTGAGGGAGTAGAGTGATGGGTGGATCTCATTTTCTTTGGAAGTTTTTAGCTATGATTCTTTTAATCACAGCATATTTGGTAACACAATAATGTAGTATTTATACCTGTGACATTTGTTATTTCCTGGGTATTTTTATCAACGTTATCAAAAAGTAGTGATGATAATATGGGACAAGTTTTATCTATAATACATAGAAATATCGATGTGGATATCTGAGCAGCAGTCATAGATTGGTTTGTAGAGGAAAAAAGAATAATATTGCTTTAAAGTTTTTATAAATATTTTTTTGTAAGTTTTATGTACAATTATTTGATATGAATATTTATATGTATACAGAATGTTCCACGTAGAATAATCAGATTCTAAAGAACTGCAAGTATTTATATTTCAATTAATTTTGTATATTTTGATAAAAAAAACTTAAATTTTTGAAAAATTGTACGGAGTTTAATCTTCTGAAAATGTTGATGTATTAGTATACAGCCAATTAGCCATAACAATATAAACAATAATAAACAATTAGTGAATTTAATTACAGCCTGCTATATAATTTTAGGTACTATTCTCTGAACTTTAAAAAATTATTAAAATTAAAAGTTATTTTAAAAAACATTTAAATGTTTTCGATTTAATTCAAATATAAATATTTTTAGTCTTCACTCCTAGTAGTACATAAAAAAAAAAAAAAAAAAAAAAGAATTTGGTTACCTTTATTACCTCATAATATATTGCAATAGGTATATTGGAGGAGAAACTTCAGGAGAAACTTGTATAAAAAATGTTTTTTTTTTTATAATATGTATAGATATAAACTATTTTTTTTTTTAATTAGCAAGGAGAGGAAGTATAAAAAAATGTTATAACTGTTGATTTTTTTTTTGGGAGGGGGGATGAAGAAATCCCTCGCAATATTTTGTGATGTATTGCAATTTTTAAACACCCCCCCCCCTTGATTAAGCTCCAGATTATAGTATAATATAAATTTTAAAATAATTTTCATAATTTCTTTTCCAGTTTAGATTTAAAACACATCAGTTTATTGATTATAAAAATGTTTAAAATCCACTCACCATAAGATGATCGAATGAGATCTACAACTAAGTGAAGATCGTTATTACATGTGATTACAATGTACGTATTAGGTTCAAATTCTTGTATAGCTCTTAATGATCGTCTTTGTTTTTCAACATTACCACCGGCAGATTCTATTATTTCTCGTATGACATGCACTGATGGACGACTAACTCCAGGGGTCACATAAAATATCTTTCCTTTGAACAATTCATGACGATTCGGATTAGATAGTATTTTATGCACTTTACAAATAACTTTTTGATCTACAGAAACTTCTTCAATTGTGTAAATTGCTTCACCTGAGTTTGATATAAAATCAAAATAAAATAAATAATAAATGTACAATAATTATTTGTGGAAATAAATAAAAATATTATTATATACCTAAAAACATATGTTGAGAAGAAGAATCTTTAAGCCAGTTTGCAGTCACGATATATTTCACAGTTGATAAACAACACAGAAATTTTGTAGTTCTAGCAGATTCTTTCATTACTAAATGTGTAGCGTCTGAATAATTTTTAGCTATTGTACCACCAAGTTGTAAAACCATCTAAAAGTAAAATACTCAATTTTATTTATTTGTTATTAATAACAAAACAATTTTATGTAGCATATACTCGTTGTTCTTCTTTTCCTAAGCCAAATCCAGAGAGCATGACACACGGCCTATATTCTATCGGTGGTGGATTAATATTTGTAATGATAATATCAGCTGTGCTTAAATCGTTATTTTCTTGATCAATAAAATCTGGGAGATTGGTACAAGGCCTCGGCCGTTTTCTTTTAACAGCAACAGGATTATTACGCACTCTGTCATATGATTCTTGGGTAACATTGATTGGAATTTTCCAAGCTCCTATGAAACACACAATATTAATTATCTTTTTATTTAAATTGTTTTTAATTATCATCATGCAGATAAATTTAATATTTATATATGACAATTAAGTCCATTATTACGAGGAGTGGACTACTCTTCACCATTATCAAATTCTACAAATGATAATAATCAATCTATCATCAAATTAATGTTTATCATGCACAATTTATAAATTAATCTACTATTTAATATTAAATTTAATTTGTATTAAGATATTATCAGTAGTAATAATGTATCCCTACAGTCTAATAATAACATAATTTGTTTTCTCAGTTTGCCGCATGTAAAATAGCAACAATTTGCACATCTATGATTGCAACTGGTTGAATTTAGGGAAAAAGAACATATTATAGATTTTATAAAGAAGCTTAGGTCAAATGTTTTTTTTTTTAAATATATATCATTTTTAATTAAATTATTAATAGTTCAAATTAAGATAAATTTAAACAAGTATTTTTTCATGATAAAAATGAAAATATTAAAAAATTCATTAAGTTGAGGGGTTTTTGCGAGAATCCTTTTTTATAAAATGTATAATAAACCCTAAACTTAACCAGAATTGCAATAGTTGAAGTGCAATGTGTATTTGTCCCCAAACAAACACGAAACAAACAGAGAAAACAAATTATGTGTAGAGACCCCTTAAAGGACATCACACTATTTTTTTTAATTTTAAATTTATTGGTGTATTATAATCAATATAATGAAGAATGTTTTGGTAAAAATCCAAAGTTAAAAAATTATTATTTAACGAGATAATGAGAGTTGATGAATAGCCGCGTGACGTTATAGAGCTGAAAGCTGAGCAGCCCCCTATGTTTTACATGTAAAAGTAGTTTGATTTACACAATGATTTTAATAACACAAAATAGTATTTCCGATTTTTTTTTTTTCATAATCCTCAGTATACTTATGTGTTTAAGACGACGGTGTGATTTAAAATTTAATATATCTTGTTGTTGCATATATATTATAAATTATAATTTAGTAAAATTATTGAATTTACGACTCGCGTCATATTGCCACACAGCACATCGCAGTAGCACAAACCAAATTTAACAAAATTGACTATAATCGTTTTACCTACTATTAAAAAACTAGAAAGGATATCAAAATTATAATCCCACCAGTGTTCTAAACACAAAAAAACACTTGAGATCACATAAAATTTTTTTAAAAAATATTATATTTAACGATTGAACTTATTGTGTTAATCTAGACAATTTTTGCATGTAAAACATATGCTGCTGTTTCAACATTGGTTCTATGACGTCACAAGTATATTTTTAAACGCCTATATCCCATTGAATAATTAGCGTATAAGTGAAAGACCTACATTATATTTCTTAGATAATGACATACTTTAAATCTAAGCAAACTTGTTTTTAGTGTTGTGAAAAATTAATTTATATCTAGACTAAACATTAATTAAGATTATAAATAACTTAAATTATTACAATTAAACAACTTTTATATTGATATTTGTTGAAATAAAAACACAAAATTATCTTATTAAGTAATTGATTAAATCTAATCATAATACACTAAATCATAATATAATAATTCTTACCCATTAAATGAAGTACTAGGTTATAATCAACTCTGAATGGATTGGTAAGGTTAAACTGTTGATACTTTGCATTTTCGGGTTGATACATACATGACAAATGCCCAAAAAGAATTTCATTTAACCATTGAACATTAACTACTGGCCGATTAGTATCTCGAGCCTTTTTTACTTTTTTCCCTTCTAATCTAAAACCATAAATAGTTTATTTATGTTGTTTATTATATTAACACTTCTGTAATGATATAAGTTAACATTAGTATTTGTCAACTAACTGATCATTTACTTACTTTCTACTAACTAAAATATTGTTATCAGCAGACAAATAAGATGTAACACGGGCACCTGTTAATTCAATCATAAATTTAACGCGATTACGTTCTTCGCCTTCAAAATTTGTTAACGAAATTAACATATGACGGCAAGGTCTTTCTTCACTATATGGAGTAGGAAAATGAAGTGCATACCAAGGAGGCATGAGTTGTTGTTTTGTTATTATATCACTAAGCCAGTAGGCAGTTATACATCTTTTGCCATCTCGTAAACCCTAAAAACAAAATTTAAATAGTTAATATAAAAAAGAATACGCTTAATTTTAAAATTACCTGTTGTACAAGAGGATGTTTTTGTGTTTGACAAAGTATATGTGTAAGACGTAATGTATAAGATGGTTCAATTTCTCCTCCATGCTCCAGGATGATGTGTTTCCAAGTTGATACTTCGTTGCTGGTATCAGAACATCGATCATATTCAACAATTAAGAATATACAACCAAGCAAACACTTATCAGGAGGCACTACACAAATATTTGAATTATTTCAATTGTTTAAAAATAATTTTTTTAAAAAAAAGTCTGTATTTTAGGTACATTTCAGATTTGGATTGTGTCCAAAAAATCTAGCCTGATGTGGAAGTTGATGACCAACAGCTTGTCCAGCAGCACTTTTCGCCAAGACTGCTGCTACTCTCACAGCAGCCGATTGATTATAGTTGGTAGGTAATGATTTATTAGGTACTGGTGTTTGAGCAGCTGCACGACTTACTACTTGGGCTGCACGGTTTGATGCACCGTTGTTGGTAACATTATTTAAAACTGTCCGAGACTGTTTATACAGAATCAAAAGTTATTATAAAATCTAAGTTTAATTATTTCCTATTTATCATCCAAATTTGATTATTCTTCATACTTGATATGTGCCTTGGGTGCCAGTTTGTTGTTGATTTTGATGCTGGGCAGCATGATGTTGGGCAGTCATCAATCTTAATTGTCCCGCTGCACTAATTTCTTGCCCAGACATTTGCTATAAACAATATTTTATATATTTTAGAAAAAGTAGTTTAAAATATAATATACAGTTACATAATAAATTAAATACATAAAAAAACATTAGTGTGTTATCTTATTAAATAAAGGTATTATTGTTTTAGTTAAGGTGATTGAGTCATGCTGTAATAATAATAAAAAAAAACATAGATTAAATATTTGATAATATATATGTATATTTTTTTTAAAAACTATTACTTAATATCACATTATTAATTATAAATGTTTATGTATACTAAAATTATTTATTAATAATAATATTCTAAGAAAAACCATCCAGTTAAAGAAGTGTTCACATTTTATAATATAATATAAATATAATTAAGATTTTGACTACATGTTAGTAAAATTTAAGTAAAATTAATTAGGTATCTGCAAAATATTTAATCAATCAATTATATAAGATTATATTATATTTATAAGCAATAGATTTGTATAAGTAAATTAATTAGTATAAATTATAAAATAATACAATTATTATATTAGATTCAGTTTTCAAGTTATAAATCAAAGCCACTAATGTTAACATACAGAATAGGACATATAATTTTAAAATACTTAAATATAGAAGTGTTATGACTTCATTTTTAAGCTTAAAATGTCTTAAACAATATAAACTATTTAGATTAAAAATAACCATGCATTAGAACTATAGATTAGCTCAATGGAGTTATGCTCTTAGTGATATGTCTATGAAGACAAAATTCAAAACAGCGTTGGTCCATCATGTGTTTACTTTTTACCTGTTGCTGAGTAGAAGTGGATGATGATATGCCATTTTGTAAACGTATACTTAACATATTAGCAAGCGCGGTTTTGGTCTTAGGATTTACGACCAACGCTTGTTGATTTGATTGAGATGTTTGCTAGAAAAATATGATGTTGGATGCAGTCAATAGCAACAATATTCGATTTTTTTTACAAAAATAAATTGGATATCTATGCATTAAATACAACGTTGAGTTATAATAATACTGCATATAAAAACAATTGTTGTTATCAAAATGAAAATGCAGATAACTTACAGAAAAATTACAAAATATAATGACTTAACAGTGAACTGTTCATAAAATAGTATTTACTGAGAAAAATAAAAATACTTAAGTTATAATAATTATTAATTAAATAAATAACAATTTTACCAAAGTTTATGAATAATTATTTTGAATTTGAATGTTGAAAAAAAAAATTAAAAATAGTAACTATATTACACATTAAAAATAATATATTTAATTATCAATATAATACTTTTGTGTTTACACATTTTAGTATAACATTTATTTATAACAAAATATATAAACCCCACAAGATAAATAAATTGCTGTATAAAATGATCATTGAACATAAAAAAGTTCATTACAATTAACATATGATTATTTATATATTGATTTTTTTTTTTAAGTATTAACTGAAAAATATAGAGAAATAGTAATGCATGAAAAATCTATTTACAATCTATCATGTTTTTCGATGTGATTACTTTACTTTAGAATAAATGGCATACATGTGTAGATCTTACAGCTATACAAATAATTGTACATAACTACTAAATATTGTCTGCATTAGGTATATTATATTTTAAAAACTTTTTTTTTTTTTTTCATAATAAGTAACAAATGTATATTTTTAATCCATATTAGCTTTATTGTACATTTTTTATTATTATTATTTATTTATATAGGGCATAAATGAAAAGCATACTTGGTTTTAAATAGACAAGATTATTAGTTACAGTTCTGTATATTGGAAGAAATGATTTATTTATTCATAGATAAAAGCAAATATTTATACAATTGAAGGTCTATGATAAGTTGTAAAATTATAATACAACATTAAACAAAATTAAGCTTTTTTTTATTTATTCCCCATTAACTCAAGAAAAAATGATGGCAAACACTAAATCTTTAGTCATTACTTTTAAACAAGAACACCATAAATGTTAATTTTTAAAAAAACATAATTGTAAGTGGAATATATGAGGCAGTAAAATTTACTTGAGACTTTAATTTTTACATAAAAATTATCTACATTCAATAAAAAAATTGAAATTAAGTTTTAAATTATAAAAATATTAGTCAAATAATTAGCATAATATTCTTTTTATTTAAGAAGTAACCAATATACGTTCTAGTTCAATTTCAATTATCAGACGAATTAAAACCAATTTATAAACATAATATACAATTTTTTAGAATTGTGTAGTACTAATAAATATAGAAAACCTGAAACCAAAATTATTTGACAAAGAACACCAAAACAATGTCCATCACCAAAAAGCAATCCCCAATAAAACGTACACATATTACCAAAATAAATACAATTATCAATTATAGGTATACATACTGTGAATGGTTCTTGATTTGGGACCTGTGTTTCAGTAGGCTCATTTGTAGCTAGTGTTGATGTTTGTTGTGGCTGAACAATAGAAGTTTGGGCCGGTGCTACTTGAGGAGACTGTACAACATTTGATGATTGCATTACTTTACCAGTAATAGGTTGATTAGGAACCACCTAATAAATAAAAAACATTTTTTTATTAAAATATTAGAAGTCTGTCATTTAATAAAACCTTACCTGTTGTTGTATTGGCTGTTGTTTTTGTGTGGTGTCCATTTGTAATTGTTGAAGTCTTAATTGTTGTAATTGCTGTTGTCTTTGATGTAATTGTGCCAATTGAACAGGAGACATGGATCCTGTAGTTTGTTGATGCACTATAATTTTTTTTTTTTTTTTAGAAGTAATACTTTATTGAACTGTAATTAAATTAATAGCTAATCTACAGAACTAATCCAGGTTAATTAATCCGATTTATGGATAAATATAGGATTATTTTTATAAGATACCTAACTTACAGTGTCTTTAAGTCACTACCATAAACTAGGTTCATTTAAGTTAATTTCAACAGAAAAGAAAAAAGAAAAATTTAATGCAATTAGCACAATCAAGAATTAACAGTCATTTATCAAAAATAGGATATTTTCTAACATGAATAGTATATAGTAATAGTAATTGTATCAGAAAGGTCTAGAAAATACACAAAACTGTGTTACCTATTTCATAAAAATTTCAGTTACTAGTTTAAATTTTACACATGCCTGTATGGTAGACTTATAACAAGCAAATACTGTAACTCCTATTTTCTACTATAGAATTTCAAAAAGAAAAAACAAATGTACATTTTAATATCAATTTTAAAATATCCTATCTCAAATTTAGTACTATTTTATGGAAATACAATTTTTTACTTTTTAAATTCTCATATTTTTTTATTTTTAACAAATGAAACATAAAATTGTTTTAAGCTTAAAGCATAACATGATTTAAACTATATTAATTTTTAACCTATATTTTCATAAGGATATAGATTCCTCATACTATTTACAGAAATAACCAATGGTAATTTTTTTAAAATAAAACCAATTTAACATAAACAGAAATTTGAATATCAAAAAATATCTAACCTTGTTCAGTAACAGATGACTGTTGCCAAACAGTTGTCTGTGGTTGAACAACTTGTTGATTATTCACCAGTGGGTTGCTTACGGTCTTAACGTTAGTTGGCAATCCTGTAGTGACTGTTCCGCCAGCCATTTGTTGTTGTTGTTGAGCTAACAACTTAAATTATAATTTATAATAATCATTAGTTAAGCATAATGTTTTTTAAAATAACTACCTATCAATATTGTTTGGTTCTTACACTTATGTTTTAAAATATTAAAAAAATTAAGAAACTATTTTTGTTTTTTATGATAATCAATATAAATATTGGTGATAAAATTATCATTTTAATTTTAATCCCAAACCCGCAATAATCAATTTTTAGTTAAGTTCAAGATCTAACTGATCTTGAACTAACAAAAATAACAAGATCTTGTGATATAAATAATATAATGGGCTACATAAATTCGGTATCTAAGATTTTGAGTAGATGAACATTATTTATAATATATATATATTATAAATTATAAAATATATATATTGAAATATTAATAATATTGATAATCGTTAAATACATTGAAGAATCATTTTATATATTCATATGAATAAATTACTTGTTGTTGACGTATTTGACTCCATTGTGCTTGTTGTGCTTGGGTCATCCCAGAAGAGGATATTAGTTGATGATTAAGGGTACGTATTACAGTAGTTGGACCACTCGGTGTTGATGGTCTGATAATATTTGTACCTCCAGCTACACCAGCAGCTTGTTGTTGACGAGCCTATGTCATTTAATATTTATTTAATGTTCAAAAATTACATAATTTAGATTGTCAATCATCATACATTAAACTGTTGCAAAACAATGTTTCTTTGTTTTGTTAATTTATTGATAAATGCCAACCGTTCAGCGGGATTCATGGCTTGTATTTGTTGGTGGGTTTTCGCATCCATATGTATCATTTGTTGTGGCCCATGCTAATATTTAAAAATAGTCGGTAAATATATAAATAATATTTTGAATATAATTAAATTATTACCGGAGACTGCTGTGACCATATTACTTGTCTTTGATCCAATGGTTGTTGAATAGTTCTTTGAATAGTTAATGTTTGAGGTTGATTCCATTGTGTCTGAGTGGTTGGTTGTGTATTATTTGCAGAATTCATATTTACTGTTTGTTGTTGTCCAATAACTAGGGTTTGTTGTTGTGGAATTTGTTGAGACTGTTGCTGGTTATTTTGGACACGTGGCTACAAAATATTTACACACACGCATAAATAACAATAAATTTATTTAAAGCAGATATAATTGTACATAACATTTACACAATTTTACCATATTAGATGATGGTTGAGCCATTCGCCATTGAGTAGAAACAGTTCCGCCACCTTGTTGTACAATGCGTTGTTGGAACAATAATCTCTGTTGTTGTTGTTGAATTAGAAGTTGTTGATTTGATGAATTACCTTGAGCTTGTTGAACCTGTTGACCATTTGATACTATACATATTTGAGATGGTTGTGTAGACTGAACATTTTGAACTTGAGGTTGCTGCTGTTGTTGTATGTGAACTTGAGCATTTGGAGTGACTTGTTGTTGTGAGAATTGAACTTGTTGAGTATTATTGCCTGTTTGAAATTGTAGCTGTTGTGGCTGAATTTGCTGTCCCTGTTGCAACTGGTTAGAATGTTGTTGGTTTTGTTGTAATTGAACAGTTTGTTTCTGTAATTGGGATAGTTGACCCTGTTGTTGTTGACCTTGTTGGAGTTGAACTGTTTGCTGTTGTAGTTGAGACATTTGAACTTGTTGCTGACCCTGCTGAATTTGAACAGTCTGTTGTAACTGAGGTAATTGACCCTGTTGTATTTGTACTGTTTGTTGCTGTAACTGTGGTATTTGGTTAGGCTGTTGGCCAGGTTGAAGTTGAACATTTTGTTGTTGCTGTTGACTTTGTTGGAGTTGAACATTTTGTTGTTGTTGTTGTAAAGTAACTTGCTGCTGTTGATTTTGGTGTTGTTGTCCAGATTGAATTTGCTGCACCTTCTGTTGCATTTGTATGTGCTGTTGGTTTTGAGTAAGTTGTTGACCTTTCTGCATCATTTGTAAATGAGTTTGTGGTTGAGCCTGTTGTAATTGCATATGATTTTGTTGCATTTGTTGTTGATTTGATTGAAATTGCAACTGTTGTCCATGTTGTAACTGAATTTGTTTTGATTGTTGCATTTGTTGAGTGCGAATTTGTTGTTGGAATTGATTCTGGGACATATGAATTTGTTGTTGGGATAAAAGTTGATTACTAGCATGGGTTTGCTGTTGCAGCTGCAACTGTTGAACTTGCTGTTGTGATAGTCGTTGAAGTTGTGGAGTAGATATTAATGACATCATTGCTTTTGGTTGAGAATTATTTGATTGAACTATTCCTTGTGATACTTGAGCCTTCAAAACAATATTTATATAAATATAATTTTATTTGAGTACTTATAATCAATAAAAAAAAAATTAATTAATTAAAATACTTTAGTTACTTGAATAGTTTGAGATGTCTGTGGTGTAGAAGGTTGATTCCATGGTAAACGCTGTTTTAACTGTTCTAAACCTTGATTTTTTGAAACAACAGTGCCAGGCTGTTCTATAGGCGCATCAAAATCAACAAATCCAGTAATTGTTGACAGGCCACTAGTTTGTAATTCTTAACATACAAAGTAGAAAAATATTATAATTTTTTTTTTTAGATAACACATCAATAAAAATGATTTTAAAAAAAAACATACTGAAAGATGGATTGGTATGTACTAGCTTTGGCATAACAAGAAGTCTAGGGTGATAATTAATCTCAGGACACAGTTCTTTATTTTTTAAACAATCAATAATCCAATCGGGAGTAACAATTTTAATTTCATCTATACCACTTGATATTACAGATTCATATTTTTTCTAAATAAAAAAAGTGAAGTCAATTAATTTGTATTATCAAACATTAAATAATAATACATAATAAGTTGCGGTTTTATGGGGGGGGGGCAATTCCCCCAGAAAAAATTTCAAAAACTGCCACTGTGACATAATACAGTGTTACTTAAAACTATAAGTTCTGGTCATTATCTCCAAGATGTACTACAATATTAAGATTATAAATAAATATTACTCACCCCGTAAGGTTTAGTAATCACCAAATGAGTAGTTTCGTTAAGGTCTAATGTAAGCCTAAAAATACCGCCATTATACGTCACTATGGCCCATAGGGTTTTACAGTCATTTACAGTAAGTTGAGATGCACATACAACAATTCCATGAAATAGATTTTCTTCAAACGGATTAAACGGTTTGGTTCTAAAATATTAATATTAAGGAAACTAACAAATGTATACGTCATCTATCATATGATTTCAAATTTTTTTTTTTAAAGTATTAAATTAACAAATTACAAAAATATAATTTTATACATACAAATAAATATTTAGGTATTTGGCATATTAACAATTACAAAAAAATATATTAAAAGGATACGGAAGTAGTTTGTTGCATAAAACGCACATCCGAATCCATTCTGGAGTTACAGTTATTACATCATATAAATCTCTAGCAGTAGTAACATCATCCTCAATGTAATTTTCCCCAACAATGCAATGTGTAACCGAATCGGATAACAAACATGTTGATTCGGCTTTGTTCGTTTTGAGCGCTGATAACACCTAAGACGATCAAAATACGAAAATTAATGGCTCAATTCACAAATGTAACTATAAGTAGATACTTACTTCGTGGCTAATAGAACCACTTGCAAAATAAACAATATTTTCAAACAATTTGTTTTTATTATCCCGATCCCGTGACAAAAAAGTGTTTTCAGTTTTAATTTTAATTGGCGGATCCATTTCGACTAAAGCTCAACAGCAATTGAATATAATTGCGCGTCTTTTAAATACGTCTTGTCGAGATGAAGTGTAAAGAGTGTTTGAAAACTAAAGCAGACATTTTTAGTTTTTAAAAAATTACTTGGTAAAATTACTAGTATTTCAGTAACATAAAAACACTGTTAATCAATAATTATCTTTAAACATGGATTCAACTATCAATATTACATATTTACATGTGTTTTAAAATATTTCGCCAATACCATAAAACTGAATAAGAAACTACATGTTTAATAATTTAGTATCATAAATAAATGTTTTTAATTTTTCATTCGGTGTTTTGGGCTTCGGTATATATAAACATTCATAATCAGTAAAAATGTTCAGTGTAGCCAACGTTATTGATAAAGGTTTTCTAAAAACATTATTTGCTTAGAAAATTTACTACGAGTAATAATATTTACTTTCTTACAGCCACGACGCACTATATAGAGAAGATCTTCTCTGTATCGTGCTTACAGCTATCTTTTCTCTCTTTGTTCCTAGATAATAAGATAAATGAAAAATGTCAACTCGTGTCTCACATGTGAGAAATTTAAGATTTAATCGGAATTCGTTACGGAATCCGTAACAAACAAACCCGTGTTAAATCACGGGTAAATTTGAGCGGTTTTATTTGTCATACTGTTGTACTAGGTCTATTAAATTCAACTCCTATTTTATGAGCAACTTCTTGAGCAGCTTTTAAAAGATCTTCTAATTCAGCATTTAAATTTTAACGATTTTAAGAATTTTTTTATATGATCTATACATATGAGAAGGTTTAAACATTTTGCCCATAGTGCATTTACAATAAACCCTAATAAAGTAGAATAGGTACTTAAAAATTATTACCACGTATATGATGAATATAATTTTGGATTATCCACACTATTCAAATCAAAATTACTCTCAAGAAGATCAAAGACAACATTGTATAAAGTTTTAATTAGACCTATAGCATTATACGCGTGTGAGACGTGGGCAACCACAAAAATGGATGAGAAGAATTTGGGTGTTTTGGAAAGAAAAATACTTTGGAAAATGTTTGGACCAAAAAAGAATAAAAGAGGTGAATTTGAAATTAGGAAAAATGAGGAGTTAAGAGAATTATTTGGATAAGCTCATATTATAGGAATTATGAAGAGTAGCAGAATAAGATGGGCTGGTCATGTTTGGAGATCTGAAGGAGTACTGGGGANCACAAAAATGGATGAGAAGAATTTGGGTGTTTTGGAAAGAAAAATACTTCGGAAAATGTTTGGACCAAAAAAGAATGAAGGAGGTGAATTTGAAATTAGGACAAATGAGGAGTTAAGAGAATTATTTGGAGAATCCGATATTATAGGAATTATGAAGAGTAGCAGAATAAGATGGGTTGGTCATGTTTGGAGATCTGAAGGAGTACTGGGGAGCATAACAAAATGGAAACCAAACACAAAACGGTCTCGAGGAAGACCCAGACAACGGTGGGCTGATAGAGTCAAGGATGACCTCAGGATGATTGGTGTGGAAAATGCGGAGGAAATGTCAAGAGATAGGGAAAAGTGGAAGGATGTTGTTGTTGCGGCAATGGACCTTAATGGCCTTTAAGACGCCTTAGAAGAGAAGAAGAGAAAGAGATATGATGAATATTAAGCAATGTTAAATTACAGATGTTGATTATGCATCGACCGTAGCATTATACTTAAATAAAACAAATAATAATTTTTGTAAGTACTTAGATACGAGTGAAAAATGTTCTTATATCCAATGTTCGTCTGGAATGAAAATGTCAATTTGAATTTGCAACTTCAATAACTTGTAAAACTAATTAAATTACGTATAATCAAACACTATAGATAAGAACACGGAAACTCGTAGATTTTCTAGCGGATACCGCAGCACTAAATATTATAACGGGTTGCCTATTTAAACCCCTACATTTTTTTATTTTTTTAAACACCGATACATAATCTATATTTATCTATATATATAAAACTGAAACAAGCAAAAGAGGAAATCTTTGTTACGGTTTGGCTTCGAAACTTCTTATCCAATTGTCATGCAGTTTTTTTTAAATGAAAGAGGATATCACGGAGCAGGTTTTAGGCCTAAATAAAGTCCGATAATGTTAGTCAATAATTAGTTATCTAAGTGTTTACTTTATACCAAAAGCTTGTAGAATAATTCCGTTCATTCTTTTCCCAATTTTAAATTTTGTTAAAATTTAATATATTCCCTAGCTATATACAGGGTGAAGCAATTGACCCCTTGGTCTTATTGTCTAAACCCTTGAGTCTGTATCCTGTTCCTATAAAAGGCTATTATCCATAGTATTTAAAGTAGAATAACTCAAACAATTTTTGTTCAAATTTTGATTGAAATAAGTCAACATTTTCAGAAAAATCATCTGATTGGCGATTTACATTTAAATATATAAATAGGTTCTCACTTGAAAAACCAAAGTTGTTATCACTCCAGAAAACTCCTCAAGTTTTGTGAAAAATATAATTATTCGAAAATGTCACTTAAACATTCCAAAAATTAGAACTTTAATTTATGCGTAATTTAACAATGAAAAATGGAGTACTTCAACAGTAAAATCAACGTGTATCGAATATTCTATACTAATTTAATTTAAATTAATAATATTATAAAGAGAAAAGATTTGTATGTTTGTAACGAATAAACTCAAAAACTACTGGACCGATTTAAAAAAATTCTTTCACTATTAGAATGCTACATTATCCCTAAGTAACATATTTATTACTAGAAAAAAATAGAGTTCCCTACGAAAATGGCAATAATTAGGATTTTAGGTATTTTCTGTAATTGTTCATTTATTTATTTTTTGTTGATTCTGGGATTATTTTGGTGATATGGATAATAATTTGGTTGTCATGGACAAGAAAAATATTATTATTATTATTATTATTATTATAATTACTATTATAATTATTATTATTTAGCAATAGCAAAACACACAAAACTATGCGCTGTACTGCGTGAGTAAGTAAAAAGTGAAAACACACGAAATATCATTTTAGAATATTTGTATTTTTTAATACATTAACAACACTAGAGTATACTATTATGTCCTTATAATTTTAGCGTTATTTTAGTTGATATAATATTATTTAATAATGTGTAATAGTGTGCTGTGCGAGTATCTAAGGTAACATGGATGAAAAAAAGTATGACACACTAGAACACTTTTAGTTTATCGGACTACCTAACCTATTGACTTTCGTTCGATATACTGATACTGGCAAAGTAATACAGGAATAAAGGTAAAAAAAATAAAAAATTGGCACGATAAACGTCGGCGCAGGACACCTAGTATATTATATTTGTATAGTTTTAAAAAATAATTTTGTAAATAATTATAGTTCTTAAAAATTATCCTTATTTGACCACAACTGGAAATTTATGAAAAGTTTTCAAGTATCTTTGCTCGGAAATATTATTTCTATCCACTTAATACGAGTACCAAATAAAAACTAACCAAAATTGAAAATGTTAAATACATAAGGACGACAGCAGGGGGGGTGTCGGTAGGGGCCATGGCCTCACTGCTATTTTAGTTAATATTAAATATTAATTGTTTTATTACTTGCATGGCTTAAATATTTAAGCCATGATTACTATTGTAAGTTGTAAAAAAAATCTTATGCTGTTGATTTTGCCCCTCCCCCCGGTTTATATTTCTGCGGGTGCTCTTGTAAATACATATAAATATACATTTCTAAACATTTTTTGACCATTTTACCACATCTAAAAATGGCTATTATCAGTATTCTGTGAAAAATTAAAGTTTATAATTACGATTATTTTTAACCGAATTGCAATAAAAAAAATAAAACCGACAATAGTGAAACCGTGAAAGCTGTATATTTTCCCGTTTTTCATACGTTTATTTACGGTTATTCTCAATTATTAGGAAAACTACAAGGAATTTAAAAAAAATAAGTCCTAAAATACAAATTAGTAACAATGCAATATCTAAAAGATACTAAAATTAAAAATCGGAAAAAAAAACACATCATAATAAAACCAATATATTTTTCACATCACTTGGAATCTAAAAAATAGTAGTATAGTAGTATATTTTGGACCTTTGATTGAGTTTTTTTTATTTGGGGAGGGGATATTAACTAATTTCACCCCTCCCTTTCCTTAAATTTCAATTTTAATTGCCACTGTCATAGTTACTATTAAATAATAATCACATGAGACTATGAGATATCTCTAATTTTATTATTTTTTTTTATATTTTATGATCATTACTCATTAGTCATTGCATATTAACGCATTATAAGTATGTACTTTTACTGTTACCTAAAAATTAATAAGTAATTTAAGTAAGTGATATATTATATAGGTACCTATAATCATTTCACGTGGTTTACCGATTAAAAAGTTCATTATTTGATATGATTGCGAAAAGTTAAAAAAAATGGCTAGAAGAAAAAAGAACAAACCAAGCATTAAATTGAGATTCTACGCTCCCGCAGAAATTATTTTTTTATTGAGATAGGAATCTCCTACCTACTGAAATATTTCATTTGAAACGATAAATTATATTTATACCTAATACCTATAATAATTACTACTATTATATAGCTTTGCTCCCGTGGTTCTCTTGTTCACCTCGGGTGGGCCACCTAAGGTGCATTAATAATACAACAACTAAGTACTTAGCTATATCTATAATAAAACTATGTCTTTATTTATTTTTCCAAAAAAAATATTGTTAATCTATTTTTTTGTCACTTATGAATACACTTATGATGATTGTATTAATACAAATCCCTCTTAAGTTAGATTGGCTACATTATTAATGTGTTATATTATTTCGGTATAGTTAAATGTATTAATATTTAGCGGTCTAATTATTTTTCATAAACATACATTGGCATTTATGTTGGTAGGTTGGCTACACTACAACGGAGTAAAAGTAGAACTTTCACTAATTCAACATCAACATTTATAATCAGGAATATATCATAGTGTATGATGATGCTCAGTGGCCAGTGTCCATCGCTGCGTTCGTAAGCGTTTATTTGAATTTTAGTTTGTAGGTATAAACTGCTGGCCTAGTGATTTCAATAACATTTTAATAAAAAAAAACACGCATTGTATTAACTCAGAACTAAAAAAAAAAAGTAAGCTAAACCTATATAATATTGCCGTATATAATGCTTTTTAAGAAATTAATAAACTATACTATTTCTTATATTATATACGATGTGCTCTTTGAAGTATAACGTAAAATTTAGTTAAAAGAAAAAATGTCTATGTACAGTGAATGGGTAGGTACATAATATTCTATGTAAATTGTCAACGTAATTTTAACGGTTTTGTCTATTTTTTTTCTGCATTATTTCTTTTTTCACTTAATAGCTAATTTTATTTAATACACTTATTCTTATTGCGATGAGGTTATTGACTTACTATTTTAAACAACTGTCTGGTTTTCATCACTATATTTTACGCATTTATAACATAATTTTATAGGAAATCTGCACTATATACAATATAATATTCCAAAAAGTGGAGACAGACACTCTATATACCCATCTCAAAATAATGACAGTCGGAATATTTTCTACTACCTATAGTCGTTGTCCTTGAATCATCCTTTCACCGCGTGTATACGATATTGATGACTATGTGGAACGAATATTATGATCGTATCACACAGATAAAACTCTCTTAACAATAACTTTATTGCACTTTATTATTAATATTGTGTTTATACCTGCTGTTTAATTAATATAACAAATTTAATTTGCATTCTCAGACGATTTTTGAACATATAATTTAATTAATTTAAAATTCTACAGTCATATCAATTAATTTAGAAAAAATAATGTCAACGTCAATTTTATCATAACGTTATAGTAATTTACAATGAAAAATATCCATCGACTTCAAGCCAATTTGACGAGATGGCGATCGACCGCGGCTACTGCACATTCACCTCTTTCAGCGGGATCACCTGCACCAGCAGCAGCAGCAGCAACAGCAACAGCAGCAGAAGATTTAGAAATAACCAACGAATGCGTTTCGGCAAAACCGTACAGTCAGGTCCCGGGTCCCACGCCGTGGCCGGTCATTGGAAACACTTGGAGAATGTTACCGGTCATAGGTATGTGATAAATAAATAGGTACATAGTTCAAAAGCATTGATACAATCAAGGGAGGGATTTTGGAATGAACCCCTCTCCCTAAAATTTGAAATTTTTTTACGAATCCTATAGATTTGTGTTGTATAAATCAAATAGGGAGTAGCATTGTAATCGTTATTCTTAAAAACCATAGAAGTACAGGTTTTTTTTTATTATTATTCTAAATGTAGCGAAGAATCTATAATAGTTAATATAAGATACGTTTTTTTTTTCTTTCGGAAAACACTTTTTTTTGTTTTGTTAGTTTTGTAATGTTTCAAATTCTTCACAATTTACCTTCAAATAAGATGTGGGTTTTTCGATCTGTGATACTTTGTCTGAAATATTCCACATTTGTCTAGATTCTCATTAATTTCGCGAAAAATTAAAAAAACTGACAACAAATAACGATACATTGGATTTATTTTTGTTGGTTTATGGTTAAATTATTTGGTTTATTACTTCATTAAATTTATGCAGGAAATGATGAATGGTTGATTTTTGGCTTTTGGGTCTTGGTAAAAATGTTTCGTACAAGATTTGCTTTTACCCTCGTGGATATATTATAATTTTAGTGATCAAATTTTCGATTTTTCCATTTTTTAACCAATTGTTATAAGTATCTATGTAATTCCCGTTATTATATTTGAATTGAAAAAAACGTATCTTATCCTCCGATATTATTTTTAGGCCCGTATCAAATATCGGATTTGGCAAACGTTTCTTATATTTTGTACAAACAATACGGGAAAATAGCTAAATTGAGTAACCTCGTCGGTCGGCCGGATTTGCTGTTTGTTTACGATGCCGACGAAATAGAAAAGGTGTACAGGCAAGAAGGCGATACGCCGTTTAGGCCTTCCATGCCGTGTTTGGTGAAATATAAAAGTCAAGTTCGCGGAAATTTTTTCGGAAAACTACCAGGAGTCGTCGGAGTGTGAGTGTCCAAACGAAAACGTACACATTAATATTTCATTCATTGTGGTTGTTCACTATTTTTATAGTCACGGAGAACCGTGGAGAGAATTCCGGACTAAGGTTCAAAAGCCAGTTTTACAGCCGCAAACTGTTAAGAAATATATTCAACCGATTGAAGAGGTTTCTGATTACTTTATAAAACGGTGAGTGATCTTATTGTTATATCAACAAAGTAATAGATAATTATTTTTGAATCGACATTTCCATATATACTTAAACTACGGATTTTGAAGGTATTTGCATTTTCCCCCCTTCTATGCAGTTCAGAACGAAAGTTTTTCAGTTATTATGAATTATATTATTCCTATAACGATGCTTTTTTGTTATTTTTAATAATTCTACATAATCGATTTAAGTGTAGTTATTTTATTTTCGTTTTAACGAATTATTACATAATAATTGCTAACCTAACCAGTAACTTAAACCAGTAACAGTGAAAGGTTTTTCTATTATTGCTTTACTTTAAATGTATTCAGTATGTAAATTAGTATAAAAAATACATTATATTATATCATATTATAGTGTATTTTAGTGCTTCAAAATCCGTACTCTTATTGTGTATAACTGAGATTATATTTCGACCTATCTCCATAAAAGAATGCAAGAGATGAAAAATCACAAATCCGAAATGCCCGCCGACTTCGATAACGAAATTCATAAGTGGGCTCTGGAATGTATCGGTCGCGTGGCGTTGGACGCGAGGTTAGGTTGTCTGAGACCAGATTTACCGAAAAATTCGGAGCCACAGAAAATAATAGACGCAGCAAAATACGCTCTTCGCAACGTAGCTCTATTGGAACTCAAGTATCCGTTTTGGCGATATTTGCCGTCCACTCTCTGGACAAAATACGTCAACAACATGGATTATTTTATCGAGTAAGAATTAATGGAATATTAAGTTAACTTTAATGTTGTATTTATATATTTTAAATACTATATAATATAGGTAGCGCTGTAGCAGTGGTTATAATTACTCGAAACAAAGAAAAAAAAATATTCCGAAAAAAATGAGCGTATCTAACACGGCGTTAATTTGTTCAAACTTAAAATTACCATATTATATATACATTGTATACTACCAAACCTTGTTATACATATAATGTTAGGTACCTACACACAATTTGTAATGAATTATCTATTGTTTTGTATATTTTTGTATGGAATTTAAAAATTATTTTACCCGACACATAATTATAATATTATTATATATTTATACACAAACAATAATATAAAACAAAAACTTGATTATCTTAAATAATATATCATTGAAATATGTTTGAATATAGAATTTGTATGAAATACATCGACGATGCTATGTTGCGATTGAAAAGCAAATCACAAACAGTGACGGACGAAAGTGAATTGTCTTTGGTGGAAAGGATTTTAGCAAAAGAATCGGATCCAAAAACGGCTTACGTATTGGCTTTGGATCTTATACTAGTTGGGATAGACACGGTTCGTACATTTTCACGTAAAAATATTTACACGATTTAATTCATAGGTGTGATCGATTTTTGTTTATTTTGAAAATTCAAAAATCATAACTTTGTTTATTCTACATTTAAAAAACTTACGATTTTTAAAATTTAAAATTTCTATTTAATAATTTTCGAATTATATAATTATCTCACTGTTAATATACACTTAACAATACAATGTATGTAATTATAATACTTATTGTTTAGATTTCGATGGCCGTTTGTTCGATGCTTTATCAAATAGCCACGAGACCGGAAGAACAAGAAAAAATTCATCGAGAAATGTTGGCGATCCTACCCAATAAAGACGACAAACTAGACTCAAGTAAACTAGAGAAAATGGTTTATTTAAAAGCGTTCATTAAAGAAGTGTTGAGGTAAATGAAATCATGTTATTCGACATTTGTTTATTTTTTAAGATTTAATAGACACATATTTTATTGTTATTATTTTAATATTGCAGAATGTATTCGACCGTGATCGGTAACGGTAGAACGCTGCAAAAAGATATGGTGATTTGTGGATACAAAATACCTAAAGGTGTAAGTATACTGATGCACGTTTAAAACGATGATAAAATAATGTTTATTAAATTTTTTACATGATATTTTTCGTTCGAGTTTACCTACTCGGTTTGTTCGATCAAAACTCGTTAAGTTATTAACTATATAATATTATAAACGGGAATAACGAGGTCAATATCCTGATATTTCTTGAATCACGTTTTCCCAAACTATAAAAATAAAACAATTAATGTAACTTGTAATATTTTTAAACAAAAGTGTAAACACTTGTATTGTATTGTTATCAATATACTTTTATCGAACTGCTTGACGAAGCAATCAAAATTAACAACACCGCGGTCGATTTGTGTATCGTAATCGTTGTTATTATCTTCGATTTCGGTGTTCGATTCTTTGCGATGGTCGTAACGCAAACTCGCAGCTGTCCAGTTATTACCGTTTTCGTTCGTAAAATAAACATTTTTTCCTATACATTTTGATTTGTATTTAATATTATTATGAGAGTCGTTTTCGTTGCCTTCGTATTCATTTTGATCGTCACAAGAGGACGAAGACAAAGTAATATTCGCTTTGCAATAGTATGGGTCATTACTACTAGTTTGTGCGAACGTGTATTTGTCTCGAATGCTGCAGGTCTCGGACACCTAAACATAATAATATACGAAAAAATAATTAACGAACGTTTTATACGGACATCATATCATTCACTGGACACTCTATCGGAAAGTAAGTACCTATAATATTGGGTTTTATTATTGAACAGATTCAATTGGTTTTTCCGACCATCGTTACGGGAAATATGGAAGAATACGTCACGGAATGTGAACATTTCAAACCTGAAAGGTGGATGAAACAATCTACGGATTATATACATCCATTTGCATCGTTGCCATATGGACACGGGCCGAGAATGTGTCTCGGAAGACGATTCGCTGACTTAGAAATGCAAGTCTTCTTAGCAAAGGTAACCTATAACCTAACACTATACCTTAATGTGTAATATTTTATTTTTTAGCTTATAAATATCAAATACTATGATAGAGCCCAATAATAAAATTATAATTATACGTATCACCGAATCCTAGGGGGACGTAGGTTAATCATAGAAAACTATAATGAAAAAAGTGTCTAGAATAAAAAGATAATTTTTTTATAAGGATTATAATATTATTAACATAATTATAACAAGATACAACAAATTATTGCTTCCAAGAACCTATGCATTTTTCGATTGGAACTCAAGAGCACGGAAATTTCAAAAATTCTTTAAAAAATAATTATATATAAGATAGCTTTAATTTTGCATGTGGGTACCTACTTGCACACAAAAAAACAATTAATATCCTTAAATCAGATAAAATATCGAGAACTGTAGCTGTAAAGCTTGACAAGATTAGCCAAGAAAGAATTGTGCATCTCTGAAAAAGGTGCAAAATCTAGAATTTATACATACAATAGAAATAAAACGTTTAAATGGAAATTTAAGGATATAAGTGCAGATATTTTTATGTGGCCCAGGGCGTTGAAAAGTTTTATTGTTTTGGCTTTGAAGCCTGCACCATATACACCTCGTACTACTGCTGTAGTTACCTATTATTTATTAATTATTATAATTAGGTATCGAAAACATTAGCTTATTTTTTTGGCTTGACATTAAACCTAGCAGAGTTTTGTGGATATTTATGTTATAATACGAGTTCAAAACGAAACTTTAAAGTTTTTTTTTTGCTTATTGTGAGTTTTAATAGTATGGTTTTTATTAGATTTGTCTCCTTTTTTTGAATATATTTACTTTGTGATTACGTAAACCACCCAAAAATCCAGATCCCCTCTCCCATTCTATAATTTTCAAACATTTCGTCTTGTATTTTATTTATCTAATACGTATTGTTTGTAGTGCTAAACATTTTTAAAGTGCTTATTTTAGAATTTAAAGGGCTAATTATTATAAGGGCATACAATACACAGTTTTTTTTAGCTTTTTAACATTAACACTACTTAGAGCCGGTTCACAATAGGACGACTATGGTATAAACGATATCGTGTACACGACAATCGAAAGCAAGTGTATTAAACATTTCATACTTAACCGACAAAAATCGTTGTCGTGTAAACGATAAACGACTGTCGTTCTTTTGGCTGTGGGAACCTGATAGTTCCCACCACAATGACCGACTTTCGTTGTCGTTTGAATAATAAGATTATAATTATTGCGGTAGTAGGTATGAACGGAACGGTTATAGGAACGGTTCACATCTAGCCGATACATTTCGAACTGTCGTTTGTATAATCAATGAGAGCTAACTTGCGTGCAACTAACTTGATAATGTCTTTTACTCGTGTTTATGTGAAATACATAAAACAAACGTGTTGTGCAGTGTTGAAATCAACTAAAATATGTCGTTTACACGACAGTCGTTCTAAAGTGAAACGGTCCCTTCAGAGTCTAAAATTAATACATTTAAATTTTAACGTTTGATCTGTTGTGTACTATTATAGTTGATTCGATCGTATAAACTGGAGTTTCTACACAAACCGTTGGAATACAAAGTAACATTTATGTACGCGCCGGACGGCGAATTGAAATTCAAAATGACCGAGAGGCCGTGATATCATCACCAATTTTATGTTATTTCGTCGACGATCAAAATTATTGATAACCAATTACACACAAAAACCTACTTAATATTTGCTATAATTTGTTTTTTTTTTTTTAAATTTTATTTACTTTTATTATTATTATTATTATTACCTTATTATTGTTATACGTATTATCATCGTTTTGTTTTTTGTTCTCTGGATTTTCGTCATCAATAAAATAATTATTACACTTCGAATCGCAATAATTCGTAACCGGATATTTTAATAAGGCCCGGTGATTCTTTCTAATTGTTTCTCGATCGGTACATTTTTTATTTGAACGTATTCTCAGTTCGGGATTTCCATAATCGTCCCGCGACGGTTCCGCGATCGGCCTTTCTGAATTCCTAAAAAACGCAAAAACCTATTTATTCAGTATGCCCACGTTTACGCACGTCGTGTGCATTTTTTCTCAACGTCACTTTATCGTTGTATGTTCGCTTTTTTTATGATTTTCTGCGAACGTAGCGTTATTCAATATCGTTTGATTATTTATACTGTACGTGTTTTGACCGTTATGACTGTAAAAGTCCCAAATTTTATCGCGTTTACTTAGATCGCTGCTGTCGATATTAACTGTATCGTTGTTTATCGCCGTCGGTTCGTTTACATGCCCGGGCCTTTGAACTGAAGAAATAAGTACGCACGAAACGTATAAATTTCAAACGGAACTACATCAACGAAATGTTATCAATGTTCGAAATCAATAACGAATTTGTAAAGTATTACAGATTCGTTTTTGTTTTTGTTATTATATCATAGTTTTTTTTATATTATAATATTATAAATAATAATTAATTATTATTATCACATGACCACGAGCAAAAAAAAGCCATGATCCTTATTTTTGTAGATATACCTAGGTACCAGCTATATATTATAGTTTATGCCTATATTATTATTTGTTTTATATTTAGACTGATATTGGAATCAAAAGAAAAAAATATATAAATGTACACAGATATATATTAAAAATAAAAAAAAGTTTTTATTATTTTCATAATAGGATAATATTATATTTTATGACATGCAATGTTTAAATATTATTGCAAATTTTCGATTTGCAACTTTGTTCTACTAAAATAATTACCTATTGAATTTATTATCAAGTATAATATGTATTCATTTAGTGAACTTGCAATAATAAGCATTAAAAACAAAAAGTTTACATTTTTTGCACATCTTCAATAATCGTTGTGTATTTGTGCTGTAATGTATTTGTTAATATATTTTACTATTTGCTATTTTTTAAATTTTAAACATGTATTGAATAATGTATCATATGAAATTATTTTAAAATAAAAAATATCAAATAATTGATTTTATAATAATTGCATAATGTTTGCTAAGAAAAAAAAATCAAATAACATTTATAACGATCTGAACTGAACTGAAAAATTACAATTTATAACGAAAGTTTGTAATTTTTCACTACAGTTTTTAATTTTTAAGTGTAATTTTTGTTATTTCTTTAAACTCAAATCTATTTTATTACATTTTTCTGCAATAAATTTGTTTTAACATTTAAAAACACATTCAATTTAAAATGCTATATGACGATATCCATATGTAGATTTATTTTTCAATTTTTTGAAAACGAACAAATTTATTTTATATTTTAAAAACAAAAATTAAACTTAAATATTTCGCTACGATATTTTTGTTGTGATACTATAGGTATAGCAGATTTAATGGTAAGTAATTAATAGGTATTTAAATATAATATTCAAGTACTTTTGATATAATATGTTGTTGTCCTGTCGGTCTTCGTTTTGGTATCGTAAGATTTTGTATAAATCGGAAACTTGTGGGTATTATTTTGAGATTTAAAATAACTACAATGATTATTTTTCGTGTCATTATTACTAATATTGTTGTTTAAACGGTTATTATTTATTGTTCTAGTTATGAAAAATTGCTCCGATCGTTCGTTAAACTTCTCGGTACTTGACTGAAGATTATTTTGATGATTTTTCTTATAGTTGGCATTCTCGCAAAGTTCTATGGATAATTTCTATGTTTTAGATACACAAACGCGATGAAATATTATTGTAAAATATACTGAATTAGGTACTATTTTTTGGGTTTTCGTTAAATTTGCTTTTAGCCAGATCCACAGCGATCCGTTTTTTAATTGTACATGGTTTATCCTCATTTTCGTTGAACTTTTGTACGTCAAGGACGGAATAACGGATTTTTCTGTTTTTCCTTCGATAAATCGTACTCAAATTATTGTTGTCTGCACGGATACCTTATTTTTTAACAAAAAAAAATTAATTTGTTTAGAATGAAATATTTTATTTCAAGAAAGACACTAATTTGTTTTATTTTGAACATTACCCATGAGTTTGGAGTTTGATTCTTTTTTCTCTTTCGGTTTCTTATTGTTATTAACCAATTTATCATTCATGGCCGTTTGATGAGTAAAATTTAGGTTATTATTAACCGTTTTTGCTTTTGTATTATTTACTTTACTTATTTCATGAGTTGGAAAAAACTCCCTTAGATTATTTTTCGACTTTTTCTTTTTTCTTCTCTTAGACCGGTCTTCATTCAAAACCTTATTATTGTTATTACATTCCGTCATCTCTGACAGCCAGTTGTTATTTAATGGTCGGTTGGTTAACTATAAATGGAAAGAAAGAAAGAATTATAGTTTATAAGTTATATATATATATTATAGGTTTCAATATACCAAAACATTTTTATTTAAAGCGATTTATGTACTAGTGAAAATCTAAAATTTATTACTTGATTTTTTCTCGTTTATTTTTGAGTATATTTATTGAGATACTTATTTAATTGTATTAACACTTGAGTACCTATATTGGCTATACTCAATATAATTAATGATTTACCAAACGAAATACGTTTGTTGAAAAATCTAGTCATTTTTTACCTCTATTTCTTTTTGTTTATTTTTAACACAGTTTTATATATGGCTAGTTGCTATAGCTATTATGAATTTAATCCTACAAATATTATTATAATAATTGGAAAGTTTGTGAGGATGTATGGATGCTTGTTACTCTTTTACGCCCAAACTACAGAACGGATTAACATGAAACTTTGTACATAGGTGTAATTCTAAACCAAGAATAACATATAGACTATTTTTTCCCCGTAGTCCACCCTTAAAGGTTGGTAAATACTGGGTAATTGGTATAATTGGTTCGAAAATCGAATTATTTTTGTTGATTAATAAATTACGTTGATGATATGGACGAAATAAAAAAAAACTGTTGTTATTTTAAATTAATTTAGTTGTCACGGACAAAAAGATACTTAAAAAAAAAAAAATTACCGGACAACAATGATTAATTAGAATAAGTAAGAATGAAAACAGGTCATTATTTTGAAATGAAATGAAAAATAATATTAACCGTTAATGCGTAAATGTATCAGTTCACAATTATTATCGAGAAAACTACAAGGAAAGTAAAAAAATAACCTCTCGGCCAATGCACCAAACTAGACAAAAATAGCTACCAGAAAATATAACCCCGAAAGTTAATGAACAGAGCAAGATTTCTAGTACGTAGAAAAATTGTTCACATAAAAGCAAATAATATATCAGCACAATAACGATATAATTCATATTGCTCATCGATACAATAAATACTAAACCTACAGTCTAGTACTCGTATGTACTAATGAATTGATGGCAAAAAATAAATTAACTAGATAGGTATCTAAGTATATATTTGGATATAAAAAAAAATAAATTGATATTTTACAACCATTTATCGGAAGGTGAACATATTATTTAAAAATCATCCTATATGTAATACATCATATTATTATCCTATCGGATACGATTAATTTTTTACGAAATAAAAAAAAATCGCGATGTACTACAACAACTTTATAATCAGTTGTTGTAGTAAGTATATTGTATACGCGGTGCGCGATATTTTATTATTATCTTTTTAAACAATCTGTGTCCATCAGGACGGATCGCCGAGCGTGCGGCAAGGCGCAGGGTGAAACAATCGCGAAATTAGTTATAATAATATGTAGTAAGTATCCGTATAGTCCTTTCACTGCAAATTTCCTTTTTTTTTTGTTACTGAACCGGACAGACAGGTTTTTATCTAGGGTACGTAAAAAAAAAAAAAAAATACGAAATGTATGCATTAAGTTAATAATATTATTCTCATCCTACGGCAAATGTACAAAAGAGAAAACCCTACTGTATAAAATCGCAGCGGAATATCGGCGCAGTCCTACCTATAACGACATCGACCATAGACCTATTCGAGTTAGCACAGCAGTGTTTCTTTAGTGTACCTACTACCTATTTTTTTTTTTTTTGTATCTTCGAAAAACTAAGTAGGTACACGCGGCCACACTTCACTTCACAGTTTTAACGTTCTTCTAGACGGCTATAGTACCTACTGCGCGCTCGCATTCGCTGTGCATCACTCGATATGCGATATATTTATAGGCAGACACGTGCGATTATTTTCGACAATAAGAATTTACGAGTATAACAGGTCAGGTTTAAGTACGTCCGGTCCGATTGTCAAATATAAATTCATAATACTAGTTTGTTTTTTTTTTTTTTTCATTACTCGAATCGTTCGGTCGATTTAATAATAATGATATATTATACGACAAAAATATGTATATTTTTTTAATCTCGGTATTTGAGTGTATATATAAATAAACATAGCGATCGAATACGCGTCTGCTGCAGATCGCAGGAGGTGTTATAATTATGTGAGTGCCAGTTCAGCTTTTGTATGTAAATTTTTGTTTACATTTTTTTCCGATAACCATAGAACTTTTTTCGTGTGATATAAGGTACCTATACAGTATACATAATATTAAACGTTTCGAGAAATGCAATATGCACATACTTATCGTTCCTTTATATTATTGTATAAGTACCTATGTGTTGCATACCATGTGCGGTGACGTATTTAAAAATTCATTAACAAGATATTGAATTTGGAAATGTGTCATATTATATATAATTTATATCCACTATCTAGGCTAAAAAAAAAGGATGTATAACACAAATTTGCCCTTAAATTGTCATTGTAATCAAATAATAACTAGGTATAAATAATTAATCACTTTATTTACTATTTAAGTGTTATAATAAATATAATCTCTTTCGTATTATAGTGTTTCAGATAGGTTATGTTTTAAAAAATAAAATGTACACGTTCGGCGTGAAGTATATAAACTATAGGAGCAAACTCATTAAATTGTTGATTTTGCTGACTAAAAAGTAAATAAAAATTTGAATTTAAAAACGAATTTTCATATAAACAAAAGGTAAAAAAACAAAGATCAAATTGGAAATTATATATTTCCCGAATCTCCTGTCGAAAATACGTCACTGTCAGTGCATACGAATTGTATGCCGAAAAAATAAACATAAATTAGAACGTCCGATTACATGCCATTTTACAAAGAAGTCTGTTCAAATAGTATGCTGTATATAATTTTACTTATCACAACTTCATTCATTCACTTTCCAATTTTTTCTAATTTTTCAAAAACAGAAAAATAATTATAATTATTGAAAAACATAAAATTTATTTAGTCATAAATTCACCAAGTTTGTATTAATTAATGAATTAAAATTAAAGTTACAATTTCCTTCCCACTTTTGCAGACTTAGGACTGACAGTAAAAACTTAATCGTTATATTGGTATGGTTAAAAATATGTTTTATTTTTTTAATTTCATATTGTTAATTATTTTAATATTTTGGTTATGTATGATTATAGTATCGTCTATATTGGCATTTCCAACATCATATATGTCATATTTATATTGTTGACAATGCCAGTGTATGTTAATTTGTGTACATACATTTTTCTTTTAATTTCGTTATTTTGAAATTGGGTCGTCACTGAACTTATATTAGTTCATCTATATCTAATATTTCTCGACGTCTTTTATTTAAATATCGCATTGCAATTGCTTTAAGACATCGACTAGTTGAAATATATTAGAACTTGGAGAGTAAAACTACATGCTATTCAGTCTGGAATAGAATGATTCACAAATATTGGTTGTACAATGCGTAGAATTAGAAAATTTGGCCCAAAAATATAGTGAAAATGAACAGTTGGCCATTACATAAGTTTCTAAGAAGCAACTAGTCACTAGATCATCATTGGGTTGAATTGCTATTAAGTTGTTTGTAAAACGATCATCTACAATATTTAAATTTAAGAATGCTAGTACAAAAAATCATTTTAATAAAACATTCCGATTTCTGTTTTCTTTTTAAAATTTATACATAGACCTACTGATTGGGTTTTTTTTTCATATACTCTACCCAAAGTGTAAACGACATCCTTTTCATGTATTGTATTTGGAAAAACGGTTAACAGTGCAGAACGAATAGCTAGTTCAAAGTCAGCGTAAATTATTTGTGGCGATAAGTTTAAGTTCAAATAAAGTTCATCTTTATTAATAAATTAGTCAAAGCATTTTCATAAATTTCTTTTGTTTTCCCCGTTAGTTAAAAAGGAACACGTGTATAGTGTCATCTGTGGTACATGTTCTAATATTTCCCATTAATAGTTCACAATGCAGGTATTTTACTAGGTTTCAATATGTACTCTGTGGTAAAATTATTAGATTTAACAGAAATGCTTGGAAATTTAACACGAGGTTCATTAAGAGTCTTACCTTGTGGTCAAAAAAAGAAAATTTGAGTTTAATTTAGTATTTTTTTTATAAAGGAATTTTAATATCAAATTTTGATGAAAATCGTTGAGTAAAAAATTATGTGGAACAAATCTAAATTTTAATTTTTTTTTTTTGTTTTGAACATATGTATACTGCTGATTTCATTCAGAATGATGGTGAAGTCATAACTGAGCAGACTGACTAAGTTTCAAAATTATAGCTTTTTGAATTTCTAATATGTGGATACTATATTATGTTGTGTTAAATAATTAAATATTGTCTCCTTTAAAAAATGTTTGTCGTTGATGAATATATATATATTTTTATCCTAGGGTTCACGAGTTTTAATCCTTGTTTTGAAAATAAACTTTTTGACAATTTTTTTTTCCTTTTCTCTAAACAAGGAAAAACCAAATGCATTTTAGGTGCACCTAGAGACCCAAACCATCGCTCGCTCGGACTATTTTAAACGCAAAATACCCCTCGATTTGTTGTGCAAACTTTTTTACCAAAATCATGTGTAGCTTATTTTTTGAAAGGAAATCTTATCTCCATGGTGGTATTGATTTTCCCAGAAGTTTTTCCAACAAATATGAAAAACCGAGAAAAACGGGAAAACCGGTAAAATATGAAACAAATATTATTAAAGAAAATATATAGTGCCTATTCAATTATTTTTAAAATAATATTACATGTAAATTGTTGACAAAGCATCAACTGAACTGCACTCTGAATCGTTTTTTCGTTAGCAATGGTTTATCGTTATAGATATACATTAAATTATCTATAACAGTGGCTGCACCCGACCCCATTATCTTAGGTTGTCTTTTTTTTTTTTTTTACTGAATATATTTTCAACTTGTGAATTCGTGTCAACGTTCCCCTTTTTTTTTTTTTTTACACAAAAGGATATTCTTTGACGAAATAAATACCTAATTTGACACCGTGTATAATTTTTTCCATCGTTCGGCTCGGATGGATGAAATAAATAATATATTGTTGTAGATACCATATAATTTTGTTTTTGTATGTTATTTTTATATTATAAAATATACTTAAAATATTTTCCATTCGTCACAACGTTTACGTAATGATTATATTGATCTTACATATTTTGGTATTGCATGTTTTGTTGTGAGTTCTAATATTAGAACTGGTATATACCAGTGTTCATTATAATATTCGAAAATCAGGTAAATAAAAAAAATTAACCGAAATGCTAGAACAAAAACAAAATCAATGATTGTTTTTACACATTTCTATTTCCCAAATTTATTGTGAAATATTCGTACAACAAAGTTATTTTATTCCAAATAAAAAATGTGGATGTGACATATTATATTTGATTAGAGTCATGAAATTTTACGAAAAAAAACTCTTCATACTCAGCAAAACTTCGCCAGTCGAAATTTAAATTTTAACTTCGATTAACGAGGTTTCGTTGGGTAGTCGACGTTTTATTTGTCTAGAAAATCATCACGTGCGCGTGAAAATATAACACTAATGTAGGACGTATGTCTACGAGGATTTCTAATACTACAGGCAATGATGTTCTATCATCATTACATCATCACGTGACTCATTAATATCTACGAATCCGATGAATCGATTCGCCACAGGCTCTCAATCTATAATGATAAAGAAAATAACATTCGTACGCCCGTAGAGAAACGCGCTAAATCGAAGTTATTCATCGCGTACGCCCCGAAGTAACTGTTTCTACCGCGACGCGTCACTTCTGATTGTCTGCGGGACACCCAAGAACAATAATAATAAAATATAATATTATCATAATATACACATCTACATAATAATGAACGATTAATATCACCTGCATGTTATACATATATAGGTGGTTATTATTGACATTTATTGTAAGTACGCAAACGATAACAATTATTAAAATTTGTGCAACTATAAGTGGTAAATGCATCCACACCCAATACTTATATTCTTATACGGGTCAAATTTAGAACTTGACTTGTGGCTGTTCGATACGAGAGAACGGCGAAGACTTGCGGGTTACTGTGGAGGCGTAAACGATACAATTGACGTTATAATGTCTGTGCAAATGGTAAAGAGGTTGTGCCATACCAAAACGATTTTAACTTCGATTAAAAGCCGTGTAAAATCAACCGCGGCGACGACTGCCGAAGACGTTATCACGGCGAACGTATCGTCGTCACAAGAAGACGACGTACAAATGTCGCAGGCTAAAGAATATTCGCAACTGCCAGGTCCCAAATCGTTGCCGCTGTTGGGCAACAGCTGGAGATTCATGTCGTATATCGGTAATAATAAGTTTATAAATTATAAAAGATTAAACAAATATTCTAAGTATTTTCAGAACACTTTTGTAATTTTGTATAATATGCATGTTGTAAGTATCAAGGATGTGCCTTTGGGAGGTTTTCACTTCCAACCCTCGCTCCTCAAGTCCACTGTCTGCATATTAGCAAAAATCTCGAAAACTATTTTATCTATTTTGATGAACCTTTTTTGTTCGGTTCCTTATCATTACCGAAAATGTATTGGATATTTTTTTATACCCAAAATTGGGGAGAGGTATTCAACCGTGAAATAGATTAAAGGGCAGACGTGGTCAATGGGTGTCTATAATGAATACAAATCATAAATAAACACAAATTTAATTTAATTAAGTATATAATATTATAAACAACCATGAGCAACTCTGGCAACTGTTTTAGATCAATTATATAAGAAAAAAAATGTAATATTCTAACGGTAATAATAGTTAGGTGGAAAATTCGACTCAAATGACGGAGCTCTGCTGTTCATTAGTAATTTATCAGATAATTTTATATTACCAATTTGTATTTGTATAGGCGATTACAAAGTTACTGAAATAGATAAACTTTCGTTGAGATTGTGGAAAGAGTACGGGGACATTGTGAAAATCGAAAAACTTCTCGGCAGACCGGATATGGTGTTTCTGTACGACGCGGACGAAATCGAAAAAGTATTTCGAAACGAAGAACTCATGCCGCACCGGCCGTCTATGCCTTCGTTGAATTATTACAAGCACGTGTTGAGGAAGGATTTCTTTGGCGAACTGGCTGGCGTTATAGCCGTGTAAGTGCAGCATATTTTTACATTTATATTTAATGAGTGTACGTATTGAACTTATCTAACTTATCCAATTATCTTTACTTATAAACATGTATACCGATAAATTATTCTAAAATTATTACGAGTAAACTACTAAATATACCTCGTTCTAAATTATAAAACGAGTAGGTATGTATATATTATATAAGTACGCCAGAGTACGCATTATAGATGAAGTATACCAACTTATAATTTTAGGTCACACACATTTGGGTTTAAGTAAACGTAATATGTAGGCATAATCATAATGCGTGACCAGAAATCTTTGTACGTTTTATCAAAATAATAAACCGAATGATACCAACCTACATGGAATTATTGATTTCACTAACATCAGTACTAATATAATTATTATTCTAGACACGGCGAGAAATGGTACGAATTTCGAACCAAAGTGCAACAACCCATGCTACAACCGAGAACAGCAAAATTTTACATAGGGACTATTGAAGATACAGCAATAGCCTTTGTTAATAGGTAGGTATCATAACGTATTGTTTATAATTTAATTAAGTAGGTATTTATAATAATCATAATAATATTAGCGAACATTTTATTATTATTATATGCCTATGTATTATAGAACAATTAATATAGTATTTTAAAAAGTAGAAAAATAATATATTTTTATTTAAGGATCAAGAAAATAAAAAATAAAGATCAAGAAGTTCCAGACGATTTTTTAAATGAAATTCACAAATGGTCACTTGAATGTAAGGTTATAATATTTATCTTCTATTGTCTTTAAGTACCAACACAAAAACGAATACACTTATAAATTATATTTCTATAGCTATAGCCCGAGTAGCGTTGGATCAAAAGCTCGGATGTCTCGAAGACGAACACACCGTAGATTCAGACACGCAAAATTTAATAGACGCTATAAATATATTTTTCGCAAACGTCCCGGAATTGGAGTTAAAAATACCATTTTGGAAGTTATTTAGTACGCCGACTTGGCGAAAGTATATAAAAGCGTTGGACACTATTACCAAGTAAGAATTAAAATCAATACGCAGAGATCATTTTATAAATGGATTATTTTGACTACTTATATTTAAGATTTATATTCAAATACATGTTTTTGAACACTCCTTATTGATACAAAATAATAAACCGATATTTTATAATTTACATTTCGGCACAATATTAACCCGCATAGTAACAAAATGCGGACCCGTGCACGTGACGAAATTGGTTTACAAAAATACGCGCGAGTGTGATACACAATCAATTTTAAAAGAATTAAATAAAAATTTACATTATATTTTCTCACCGATTTGTTTTGAAGTAATTCATTTTTTAGGGCTGTAGGTTCAATTTTAAATAATAATATTGTAACCAACCAGGGACGGGTTAAGATAACATGGGAATTGGCGGTAGGGCGATATTGAAAATTCATTTAAGGCACACATTTTTGATGAAACTTAAACTAAGAGTATATTCCATTTACTATGAAAACCCCTAAAAAAATCAAAAAATGACCGCTCTAAAATACTATCCCAGAAAAATTCTCTTTTAGAAAAGGTGCTATACTTGAAACTTCAGAGCAGGATTTCTGGTAGAATTTGTAAAACCATTACATTCTTCGGTACACTCAAAATCGAAAATCAGAAGAGGAGCTGCTTGTGTTCCCCTTGTGTTATTATTATAATAATAATTATTATTAATTAATATTATTAGATAGAAGTAGGGGATCTAATTTTTTTATCTAACCTATACATTTTTTACTTTTTTTGAGCGTAACTTCCAAACATATAAACCGATCGTTGGATCAGTTAATATCGCAAAAATCATTTTGTCCTGACGACCAATCATCGTTATTACAAAGAGTGCTCAGTTTGGATCCGTCGAATCCGAAGTTGGCTCAGATACTTTCTTTGGACATGTTCATCGTCGGAATAGATACGGTACGTATCATACACATATTTAGGCCTGGATCAGCACCTTTGCAATCAAATACTTTTTTTCTACATTAGATTTAAAATAGTTTTGTAAATTATCGAAATATCGCCGTTTCATCTAATATAATGCGTAAATGATTAGTTAGTATATTTTTATATATTTCATTGCAATGCACGAATTGGAAAAATAAAAGAAGAGGGATTACACAATGTTTAAAAATTTAACACAGGGTTTATTAGGAGTTACAAATTTACAAATAATGGAAATAAAAAAATTCAGCATAGCATCGTAATTTTTTTTTTTTTTTTCAAGCGCCTAAAGTACAAATTTTAATGAGAATGCGTTTTGTAAAAAATGCAAAATAGGTACCTACCATCTCATATACGTTCCACTAAAGAAAAAAATAGTTAAGGTATACTCCACATCCCCCCACACCAATTCGAGCACTGTTTCATTGAGAATGAATATAATAATTATATCTATGAATAACTGTAATTATTACTGATTACTGGTTTACAGACGTCTGCAGCGCTCGCGTCAATTCTTTATCAATTAAGTCGGTATCCCGATAAACAAGAAAAACTCAGGAAAGAAATTCAAACCGTATTGCCAGATGCCAACACGAAAATAACTTCCGACAAACTTGAACAATTGCAATATCTAAAAGCGTGTATTAAAGAAACATTAAGGTAAAAAAATTGAGTAGCTACCTATCTATACATTATTATAATGTACGTATAGTGGTATATTTATTTAGTTTTATTATTAACTACCGATCTACGAAGATTTTTAGCAGGTTTGATTTCGTTTTCTTTTAGTTTAAACAAATTAAACGATAAACGAGTAGGAGTTGATATTTAAAAACGTGGTTTATCATCTTGTAAATCTATACATATAAAATCCAAATACCACTGACTGACTGATCGCTGTATCTCAAAAACTACGTAACGTACGGACTTGAAATTTGGAATACAGGTTCTTCTCGTAGTTTCACCGTGCAATAAGGAGGGATTTTCAAAAATGTTGCGTTTTAGTGGAGTAATTAACGATTATAATTATTCACCGCCGATACGTATTGTGCGGCACGGCGGCCCGCGGGTCTCCAGCTACCTGCAACCTATCCTTTTTGTTCGTCCTCGTCCGGTCGTCGTGTAGATAAGAATAACGATTCCGAGAATAAAATTGTTCCGAGAAGTTTATCGATAATTATGAATTTAAGACGGTAAATGGGGTAATACATGGCGTTATCTAATTTGTCACGAATTTGTTTCCGGGCAACGCCGGGTAATTCAGCTAGTAAAATCATGTAACGATTATATTATAATGACGNAAAAAAAAAAAAAAAAAAAAAAAACTAAAATCTAAATATTTATTCACAATTTTTGTACTTTAATAATACGCTACGATTTCATGATGATAGAACTATTAGTATGTACTAGTACTATCATGGCTATAAATATTAATATTATATCTACAGCCATTATAACTACGGCTAAGTTGGATCTCAGTCTGTGCCATATAATGGGACCCATAATTAAAATAGGGTTCGTATGATTTTAATATTTTTCTTGTTTTGTAGAATGTATCCAGTGGTTATTGGAAATGGCCGCTGCATGACCAAAGAAACGATAATAAGTGGATACAAAATTCCAATAGGCGTAAGTGTCAATAACTATCAGTACCTTTAATAATACCTACCAGTGGTGTAGCGATAGGGTGGCATGACGGGCAATGTACCACGGGCTCATGATATTTAAGGGCCCCAAATCCGGACATTATTGGACAAGTGAAGGCATTTTTCGAATGACCTTTTCTTTTCTTTTTTTTTATCATAGGCCTTTATACAATATTTTGCTACGGACATTAGAAGTTCTAGTTATGCCTTACGCCACTGGTACCTACTTATTATCAGATGATATTATTATACTAAAAATTAAATTAGGTATATGTTGTCAGTAGCGGATTTCAATGATTTACTTGAAAGGGCTTTGAAAAGTCATAAGTTTAATGAAATATATCTATTAATAAATGCCTCTTTTTTGGATGACATTTCATTGAAATCGTATCGGTGTCTAGGGGTGAAATCCATACCCCTCTGGACCCCCTCACTGTATATAGTAATATTTGTATTGGATGCCTTTAATGGGTGGGGGGTAAGAGGTTTAAGGGCCATTAAGACTTTTCACATGTTTTTTTTTTTTGGGGGGGGGGTATTTTATAAGCTATAAAAAACGTCTTATTGTGTTTCTGTAAACTGGACCACTATATATACTTATAATTTATAAACAATAAACATATTACTTATTTTATTCTAGGTGCAAGTGGTATTTCAGCATTACGCCATTAGCAACAGTAGTAAATATTTTTCTCAACCGGAACGGTTTTTACCAGAGAGGTGGTTGAAAGGAAGTGGTTACAAACATCATCCGTTCGCGAGTTTACCCTTCGGATATGGGAAAAGAATGTGTTTAGGCCGCAGATTCGCCGATTTGGAACTTCAAACAGTCGTAGCAAAAGTATGATGTGATTACCCGCATATATAATAATTATATAGGTACCTAATACATACGACAAGTAATATTCATTTAATTTTATGTTTTGTTAAAGATTTTTCAAAATTTTGAAGTCCAGTACGAGTATGACGATTTGGAATACACCGTTCATCCAATATACATGCCAAACGGTCCACTGAAGTTTAAAATGATTGAAAATTGATAACTACCTACCTATAAATCATACATTCACTAAAGAAATTGTATAATATTTTGTTATTTATTATTATTATAATAATTTTATGTTGTAGTTACTTACTATTTTTACATTACATTTACCTATTATTATTTAATTAAATATACTTACTTCTTCTTTTTCTCCTTCGCCTTTACCCCAATTATTTGGGATCAGCCATTCTCGTCCTAAACTTCCACTTCATCCGATTCCCCCATTGTCCCCACAAACACCCACTATCCTCATACAATTGTCATTTGTCAAGCACATTCAATCACCTCTTTTTTGGTCTCTCTCTCCTTCTCTTTTCTCCTACGTATAATTGTATTAAATTTCTTATACTGCCTTTAATTCATCTATCCGCATAACATGGCCAAACCATTTCAGTCTAATTTCTCTCATTTTGTCCACTTCCAAAGCCACACCTAAGCTACCTCATCTGACCTCTCAACCTCTGTACTTATACTTAACCTATTCTATCTTCTCTTGTCACTTCACTTATCCACCTAAGCATTTTTATCTCTGATTCACTTAATCTCTGTTGTTTTTTTCTGTCTTCGAAACAAGAATTTGGTAGAATTGTTGTACACAGTGTAAAAAAAAAAAAATAAAAAATAAAAAAAAAAAAAACAAATAAACATCAGTCTAAAACAAAATTTAAAATAATAAAACGTATTTCTGTAAACTTTCTCAATTTTTCTTCGTTTTTTTGATGTTTCTTAATTATTTAAAAAAAAAAAAAAAGAACAAACGACTTTCTGACTCACCAACTAGATTAAGAAGGCAACAAAAAAGGTCTGTTTTTGGTTTTCTATCGGAGAAATATTTCTGGTAGAAAACACATTTCTTAAAAATTAAAAACAACGAAATCGGCAACGCCGCAGTGCGCTGTAAATATTTGCTGTTTTTCCGTTATTCCCGTTTATTATGACAATGTTTTGAAAATTCAAAATAAGACTTCTTCCAACTAGTTACAATTTACATTTAGAAAAGGTGCTTTATTTGATACATTGGAGTAAGTTTTCCATTTGAGAAGTTACTCAAATATAAAAATAAAAAACACCAAACCAATAAATCCCTTGCTATGATCTTAATCTAAAAGAAAAACAGCTGACTACACTGTATTCATGTAGATTTAAAATGATAACTAAGACTCTCAAGTGATAAGAAAAAAAAAACAAAATATTCAATGTTTATCAATATTCAGTATCAGTATCAGTATTTAGTTTTTGTGTTGTTTATAAAATATATTTAATAATTTCATTTTATTATTAATAGCAATTTGTTTTTCTCTAGTTAATAAAGTGTAGGAAAAAACACTAACCATGTCTTATATGTTAGCACATTTGTTTAACGGTTGGCAAGTTGATCAAGCTATTCTCTCAGAAGAAGACAGAGTAGTAGTAAGTTCAATTAATGTTTACTAATGATCCACATAAGACAATTGCCGAGTTAACTGTTGTGTACACTTAAAGTGGTACACAAAGCACATAGATACAATGTGTTGGTTAAAAAAAATAATTGATTCTAGTTCTGTAAACCTAAAATATGCTTTTTCAATCGATTAAAAAAATGTGTATATTAAATGGACACAATCAGATAAATGTATTTACCAAAAATAAACATTACCTTTGGTTAAATTTCAGAATTATTATACTAGCAGTTAACCTACTAAATGTTAGTAAAATATATTTGTATTAAAATAACTTGACAATTTTTTTAGGTGATTCGATTTGGTCATGATTGGGATCCGACATGTATGAAAATGGATGAAGTTTTGTACAACATTGCTGAAAAAGTAAAGAACTTTGCAGTTATATATTTAGTAGATATTACCAAAGTACCAGATTTCAATAAAATGTAAGTTAAAATGATTATTTTGTATACTGATCGCACAAAATCTATATCTAGTTTGTAAATTCAATACATAGGTATCTATACTAATCAAAATTAATTATTATTTGTGTAGGTACGAATTGTATGATCCGTGTACGGTGATGTTTTTTTTCCGGAACAAACACATTATGATTGATTTGGGTACAGGAAACAATAACAAAATCAATTGGGCACTAGAGGACAAACAGGAAATGATTGATATTGTTGAAACTGTATACAGAGGTGCTAGAAAAGGACGTGGTCTAGTCGTTTCTCCTAAAGATTATTCTACTAAATATCGTTATTAAGTACATTTTTTTATGGCTTACACTCTATTTTTAGGTGATGAAATAATTTCTGTATATATTATTTAATATTTTTTTAATAAATTAAATTAAAAACCTTGTAAAGTGATCTATAAAATATTTGTTATTGAGAGCAGAACCAATGTTTCTTATATAAATATTTTTTGAAAATGAGAAAACAGCAAGTATATCAATGAATATTATGATATTATTATTAGTCAAAAAAAAAAAAAAATACAGGCCAAACGGCTAAAACACATGAGTTGGTATAACACAGTCAAAACTTGCTGTTATCCATCTTCCCCATTTTTAGTCAGTTCAATGTAATGGTTGATGGTGGGCCATTATTCTATGATTGATGATCATGCACAAATGGTCGGATAAATAAAATGAATATTACTTTATCTGCTGGCCTCAGTCAACTGGCTGTGATATTGACAAACACTGCCAGATAAAGGCATTTAATAGTTGGTGGCACTGACTGCAATATCGATCCACTTGTCGCGGCTAAGTGCAAATAATATCCTCACAACTAATAGCTGTTATTGGATTTATAATTGGTGGTGTCGGCTTAATCCCGGTTGGTATATATATATGTGTGTGTGTGTTGATTTCAAACAGACTTGTACCAGTGAGGATTTTATTTTGGTGCATTAAAAGATATTGATAGATTTTAAATATAATGAACACTTTTATAATTATGTAATTTTTACAATAAATATCTATTAAATAATGAATTAATATTCACTTCTTAATTCATAATCAGAGACAAAAAATAATTTCAACCATAAAAAAAAAAAAAAGGAACTTCCGATTTTGGGCATATTTTATTTAAGAAAAATAAATAACATATAAAGTATACATCAAGGATGGGAAAAGTTTTTAATTTTGTTACTTTCATTTATGTTATTACATTTTTTATTTAGTTATTTTTTTTTAAATTTAACATACAATTATTAGTAATAGGAAAGAAATTTAATAAGATATAAAATTATGATAAAAGAAGAAAAAAAAAGGTAAATTATAGGCAAGCAAAATTCATTCCAGTAATTTTAATAACAATAATATTACAAAACTTAAGACAAATATATTCACAGTAAATTGTAAATTAAAACTCATGACAATTACTGATTGATTGAGGAAATATCAATTTAGTTTAGATTAAAAATATACTTAAAATATTATTACTTAGCAAAAATGATTTAAGTAAAAATTATAAATTTTAAAATGTATATAAACATATAAGTATAAAAACCAAAATTTTCTGGTAACCCAAGTAAAATAATAATAATAATAAAATAATAAATAATAAAAACAAACAAATACACCATATAAATAGGCACAGTAATATTTACAGAGATTTTGAATATTATAAAACCTTTACCTAAAAACAAATTCGTATTAAAAGATTTCATTTATCTGAGTATATTATGTTAATACATAAGGCAAAATATGATAATAATTAAAACATTCATCCCATATCTAAGGAGATATGACAATAATCAATAGATAATTATTATTTCTATTCTAGTTTGATAAATTAATAAGTGAGATTATATTTTCAATGTCCCCTCTGTCATCATACCGACAATAATTTCTTTAACATAAAAAATGTATTAATAATAAATAATATTTTGAAATTAATCATTACAATAAATTTATGTTTAAAACATTAGATGGATTTCTAAAATGTAGTTTTATAATGGTAAAATAATAGCATATTATATTTTAAATCAGTCAGTGTTATTAACGAGCAATTGGAATGTTACCTAGTTTCCAAGTTCAATTGAAACAAATCTATCAGGTTTAAAAAAAAAATACATAATATATGTTGAAACCTATTATAATAGTTAGATTCATAAACTAATTTACCTATAAACATTATATAAATTATTTTCTATACATAATTTATTTTAGCTTAAAAATATATATATATATATAATAGACATGCTCAATGACTAATAAATAATTTGTTTAAATAATATAATATGATTTAATAACTTTTTCCATTTTAGCTAATTGAAATAAAAAATGTTTATTAAAATTATTTAATATAATTGCTTATACATGCAAAAAAAAAAATAAAAAAATAATAGGGATGAGTTTAATCCAGATTTTCTTATAAACTTAAAATACTAATTTCTTTTGTACTTCAATCTAACCATGTAAGTTATAGTTATTTTATTTAAATATATATATATGCATATATTGGTGATACATTTACTTGTGAATAGTTAATTTATAATTTTCAACTTATAAAAGTGGTTATATAATTAAATGTTCCCATTTTATATTGGTTAATAAATCATTATAAAAAAAAAAAAATCAAATAAACAGAATATAGAAACACAAAATGGCAAACTAAAATCATTATTAACAGTGTGTTGTTATTAAAACTAAAAATATCATGTAAACACATTTAATTGAAACTGTAATCTGTTTAAGATTTACAATAAAACTAAATTTAAAACTATAGATTTAAATTACAGGTGTATTATATGTAATACATTATTTAATATATCTGTGGTTTAGAGAAAAATATGTATTCATAAAATAATTTTAATAAAAAAAAATTATCAAACTTGAATGAAATTTGAGTGCTTGTGAATTTGAGAACCCATCCGTAAAAAGAAAATTACAAAACTGAATACAGAAAAACATCATCACCCTAAGATATAATTATAATTAATTTGTAAAGTATTGGTTAAAAATTGATTAATTAGTTTAAATTAATTGCAATTAGGCAAGCCAATAATATACAATATTTTAAATTGAGTACAGTTAAATACAACATATTTTATATAAATTAGTTTTAAAACACACAGACCAATTATGTTGTAGCAAATTTTATAGTTATTTATTTATTACATATTTTGTAGCTGGACTTAAATAATAATTTGTATAGGAAAAATTATTGGTAAAGTAAAACATTAATTACCTATTTTTTTTTTTTTTTATTATTATTTGATTTAAATAATATTAACTCGATTAAATAATGAGATAATACCCCAACTAATACTAAATTCATTTATTTAAATAGAAGGCAATAATAATAAAAAATTAAATATTAAAAATACTGAAAATTGATAAAGACTAGTTCATAATATAGTCATAAATTAAATCTGATACTATACAGATATTAATGAAGTTAGTGCACGAGTATATTGTTATATATTAGTTAATATAACTCTTAATTAATAGTTACGGCTTTTAACTGTGCTAATTTTATTTTAACATCTTTAAATGTTGGTCTCCGTTCTGGCAATAAGTCCCATGCCTATAAATAACAAACAGTATAGATATTATCATTTAAAATCACCATTCAATAACTATGTCATTGCAATAGTCTTACTTGTCTCATGATTTCATAAATTTCAGGAGGACAGCACTCTGGAGCTTCCATGCGATAGCCTTTTTCTACATGCTTTACTACATCGACCAATGGCTGTTTAAAAAAAAAAGTTTTAATTTATTAATATTCTTCTATGATAACAGTAAGCATTGTAATGATAATAAACACAGAACAAAATAGAAGACGAAAACTGATAAGGAGATAGTTGGATGCAATTTTGAGTGATATGTGGATAGCCGATGTATGTAAGATATGATAACTGGTCAATTGAAAGTATAGGAATGACAGTGGACGCCTCTAAATAGTTGAGATGAAGGCAAAGGAGAAGAAGAATATTTTTAATGATAAATATGACGAAAATTTTGTAGTACTTACTATTCTTGAGTACGGAACTCGACCAAATGAATAAATTTCCCATAATAGAACTCCGAAACTCCACATATCTGATTTATTTGAGAACAACTGAAAAAAAAAATTGAAAATAAATATAATATATACAATTTTTTTTATTACAAATTACTCCTTGTCTAAGGGCCTCAGGTGCAGTCCACTTAATGGGCAGTTTTCCAGCATCTACAATATAATTTTCTTCCCGCGCTAGTCCAAAATCTGCAACTTTGGCCACTCCAGCTTCTGATATCAATACATTACGAGCAGCTAAATCTCTATGCACAACTTTTCTATACTCCAAGTATTCCATACCACTACAAGTGTCACTAAAAAAAAACCATAGATTAGGTTAACTTCAATATTATGAATTTATAAAACAATTTAAGTGAAGCCATTCTGTATAAACATTCATGGGAGCATCAGAACTATCTGTTGTAGAAAGATAATAGTTTCAGATTCTGAGTGGAGTGAGAAATGAATTGGTTTTACAATAATGTTTATTTTTTTATCTGTGAACAATTTTTCTACCAGTAATTTTGCTCAGATTTATATATAAATATGCTACTTACTTTGCAAAATTAATTTGATCTTTTTTAGTTACATGAAGTCTTCCTCTCGAACGTAAATACTCAACAAGACTTCCTTTTCCCATGTACTCAGTAACCAGTAACAAATGTTTTTCATTTAATACTAGTCCTAGTAGTTCAACTAAATTTTCGTGCCGTAAAGAACTATAAAACAATTACAATTTAATAATACATTAAATATTTTCAAAAAAAAGCAAATATATTATAAAATAATAGAGTAGTAATATAAATTTAAATAAATTTCTTAGTTAGATAAATTATGTTTATGGAAATAATAATAATAGAATATTAATTTTTAAGCATATAGTGGTTTTAAATTAAAGTTGCTTTTATAATAATAAGTTTTTAATAACCCTTAACATCAAACATAATATGTTATAATTACGTCATGAGTAAAGCTTCTGTGAGGAATTTTTGGGCTTCTACGCTAGAATCCTTAAGCATTTTAACAGCTACTTTTTCTCCTCTGTACATTGCTAATAAAACATCACCAAATTCTCCTTTGCCAATTGTTTCATTTAACTAGAATAAAATAAACAATTTAATTTAATAAAAAATTAAATATATAATATACATTATTCTTTCAAACCTGTAATTCATGTTCTTGTATAACCCATCCAGCATCAATAAAGGATTTAGTGTCAATGCAAAATTCTTGTTTACCTTTTTTAGGCAGACATTTGATTAATTGTGTACACAGCCCATCAGCATCGTTTTGGTAATGCTATATGTCAAATAATAAAAAAGTTATTATTATTGATAGCCATTATACCTATGAGCAGAAGAGCTCCAAAACTAGTAAAATTTCCTCATAATGTATTTGAGAATTTTTATGTTGATAAATTTAATTTTTTTTTTTTTTGTATACTTAATATAATATGATTACTAACTTCTACTAATTGTGAAAGATTTTCAAAAAATTCTTCATCGTCAATTGTTAAATGATTATCTTTATACTTTACTCTGTAATGTTCAACTTTTCCAAGGTAACAAACACAAAGTGTATAATCTCCTGGGTAATTAGTGGACTCTCTTACCAGAAACAAACCATTCTCTTTTGGGGTTAACAAGTCTTCAGCCAAATCTCTTGATATTTTTCCATGAAACCATCTAAGTATTACACCAATAATAATTTAAAACAAGTACTTAATTAAATAAAATAATTGTAAATAGTATTTTTGTAGTCAAATATGTAAAATTATATCAAACAATTATTAATTATAAAATTAAAAAGATGCTACACATGCATTTGTTGTGTCCGTCTTATAAACACATGAAATAGTAAAAATATACATTAAGAAAAATGATTAAATATTTTCTTTTCATCTCACATAATAAGAGCTGAATATTTTGGCATACAATGTATAATAATATTAACTTAATAAATAAATATAAAAATCAAAATAATAATTACTAATAAAGAAATTGCTACTTTAAGGGTTATGAAACGAAAAAACAAAAAAAACAAAAATGATGTAAAACAATAAATTATAATAATTATTAATCATGAAAATTTGTTAATTACCTACATATTTCATATAAAGTTGAAATATTTATGGGTATATATTATATTATAAGATTATTCTTACATAAACTAAATAAGTTTTATAATAGTTTTTATTTGTTAAATTCTTATTTTGACAGCGTATTACAAATATTGAAATATCTTAATAACCCATATAGTTTTGAGCCCACTGTGAACGATATTGATATGACTGATATTCAAAAAAATAAATAAAAAAATTTGAGTATAAATAGAGGATCATTATAAAATGAATGGAAACGATTGATGTTTATAAAATAAATGTATTAGGTTTACTACTACTTGATCAGTAGACCAAGAGTGTATAATAATAATTAAATTAATTTTAAATGTACTTTAAAACAACAAAACAAACACCACTATTCAGGAAAACCCACAAACCTATGATAACTGTCTTAATTTTTTATTTTTGTTGAATATAACATATATTATAATAATATAAAAAGATAAATAAATAACCTATAACGCAATTACAATTTCTGTTTAAAATTATAAACTGCAGATGCATGGTGTGATCTTGTGATATCACACAACTATCTCACTCAGACTCAACGAATCCACATATACAAATTTTAGTATCACCGATAGTTATATTAATTAACTATCTAATAATTGAATCAGTAATTTTTTTGTTTCATAGTCTTTTAAGGTAGTAAATTAAATGGAATAATCAGTCAAATAACTATATTTTTTATAGTTTTATTTTCTCTAAATTCAGGAATACAAATATTTATATAATATTGTTTCTATTTTATTATTAAGATATTAAATTTATTCAACACTTCAGATCCCTGTGTGCCATAGATTTGACTATGCTTATGATATGGCACACAAGTATTACTTTATTTTATTGTATTTAGTTTTTATTTTATTCATTGTAAATTAGACGTTAATTAATTTAGTTAGTATTAATTTTATGAATTAAGATTCAAAATGGTCTGGATAAAATAATACAGTATAATATTAGTTCCTTTAACTAATTTGAATGTTATTATTGTAATATTATAATTTTAATATTTATATAAAAAATATCAAATGATTTTTACTCACGGCATAGTATTTAATTTGACTTGTGCTTTGCGTTGCAACGAATTCATATTAGGGTCATCTTTTAAATGGTGTACAAAAGGAGCATACGCTCCGATATTTGTAACGGGAGACACCGGTGATGCTCTGTCGCAAAATGAATGTGTTACCAATTGTTGAGGATTTGTTCCAAACTGCAATTGATCAAATATACGAGTTATTAAAAAATGAATTATAACAGTAGTTTAATTTAAAATTGTTTTAAATTACATGTGTTCTTCCTGTGTTTTGATATCCATGATCCATGTCTCCAATTTTCATTGATCAAATGGCCAACGAGCATTTGATACAATCTATCCTCGGCAGAGCATTGATCGTCTATCAGAACTATTGACTGAATAATCTGTGCACACATAATAACATAAAAAATAATAATAATTAACAATTGCACCGCGGCAAGTTTACTATTGCAATGAAACGGGATTGGTACGAGGTATTGCGCGTATTATGAATCATGGCACACCCACCACAAAACACACCCACACCAAACTATCAATCGTAAAATCCTGTGGTGGGTGTAATGTTGGAAAGAAAAACCATTATCAAGGGGATACGATTCAACAAGATGAATACCGATCGGACGAACCCTACTCGTTGTCCGCAGGGACTTACCAGATTAATAAATGCTCCAGGTTATTGTTCTGGGCAAATGTTTCAGTGGCGGATTTCGCAGATACTGACTGATGACATGACGCAAACTCAGACACCGCCAGGAAAAAGACTGCAAATCTTACGTACCTAGGTATTAGGTATCGTAATGAAGCGAAAAATAATACGAACGAGTCTAAGTCTTATTCGGCGGTAACTGTGGCGAAACTAGTACGATTGGTATAAGTATAACGACGTAGACGCGCGCGTCGACAATGTAACTATGTAAGTATCGTTTCCTGGTCGAAGTGAGAAATAACGCGAATAAATGAAGACGAAAACACGACAACAGGCGATGAAAACTAAAGGCTGTTGTAGCAAAATGAAATATCTATGTAAATATAGTATTATTATTATTTATTATTAACTACACTATTATTGGTAAATAATGATTAATGAATGATAATCGGAAGACGACCACGATACGCATTGATAATGACGACGGAGGTAAACACGCACACAACTTACTACACAAGGAAGGACACAGCAAACGACGACGCCGCGGTCGTGCAACCACGACCACGGTCACCGTAAACGGACAGAAACCGCCAATCTAACACTGGTCAAATGGTCACACTGTTAAACGTCATTTTAAGTATACTTATACTTACTTTGTGTAATTTAACATAATACATAGATTAAATAATATACAATATATTTAATAGACCCACATTATTCATTACAATATACTATATTATAGATTATAGATTGTTAACTGGTGATAAAAAGGGAAGTCATTTAATTCAATACTCATGGGACCTTATCAGTAATGTAGAAAAAAACCACTAAAAAAAAGAATCCAGGGAGAAAAAAGACAGAATAAAAAGCCAATTTATTTATCATATTATAATTAATTACATTAATTGTTATTATTTATATTATTAATTCTATAATAATAGCAATAGCATTTTATACTTTTATAATATTACCTAATTAATGCATTATTGCATGACTGATGTCCTATAGAACAATTATTTTTTATTGAGTGTTTTTAATGTGTATTTTTTTTTTTATTTTTACTAAAAACTTTATTTTACTTATTTTTAATTTCAGTAACTTTTCTGGTGGGAAAATTAATAGTTGATCGGGGAAAACAAAAAAAAATTTTAAAGCCACTAAAGATTCACATAAATCTTGCGATAAACTTACATTAGTAGGTTTTTGTATAAATTTACAGAGACTAATATAAATTACTTAATACATAATGTTCCAGTACCAATATTTAATGCTAATTTAGTTCTTACTTTCCGTCCACAATGTCAAATTATGGAAAGAAAGCCCACGCATAACTTTTTTCTGAACAGAGCATTAATTATGTAAATGGTACCGTTGGACAGCACTATAATTCAATACTACAGCCAGTCTATAGGACTATAGGAGATTTAAATGCGAATACTGCGTCTGCTGTGAAAATTTACGGAAAATCCAATAATTCGTTGGAAAATAAGCACTAATATTTTGTTAATTCCTCAACGGATCTTCATTAATTGTTAAGCTTATCTAGATTTGTATTATTCAGTATTCTATGTTTGTTCTATTAGTTTTATTATTATTAAAAAGTATGATGAATACTTACCGCCAAAGCGCCATTAGGAAATATCGTTTTAGATTCGGAGCGTAGAGAGGGATCTATTGGTTTTACTATGTGTGTTTTTGTATTTTTTTCCGCCTGTAAACAATTTTTCGAGAAAAAAAATCTTGTTCCTATGTATCAAGTATTCAAGTATAGCACATTTTCTGAAATTAAATTTTATCTAGTTGGTGCAATGCATATTGACGAGTTAATTTTTTGATTGTCCAAGAGGTTTTCATAATAATCGAGAAAAACAGCAAATATTTACAATGCGCCGCAGCGTTACCGATTTCATTACTTTTAAATGTTACTATGTTTTTAACCAGAAATATTGCTTCAATAGAAAAAGAACAAGAAAATTGTTTTTTACGTGATTTTTATTTAGTAGGTACTCTGTGGATAAATTTGTTTGACCGGCATTAAATATTGTTAATGGAAAGAAAATTAATGCTCGGTGTCCGTTCGTTAACCTCACGGACCTTAATTTTTAGTATTTTAGAAGGGAAAATATATTTTAATACTAATATTATAATAATTACCTATTTAAATATCTATATGAATTAATTTGTTTTTTACTAATGTAGGCCAATCTTTCTTGCGCGCGTTGCCGTAATTGAATAAAAGATTCCGGTCCGTACCATTACGTACCGCCACTACCACCATCGTCACCTAATTGTTGAATAATGACTTTTTTTATTTTTTCAATGTGTGTATAGTGTGCATCGTACCTATTGTGTGCCTCTACGTGCAGCGCGATTGAAAGAAAAAACTGTGTTTACAAAAAAATAAAACCCGGAACTGTAAAAATATCATTACTCTAAAAAAAACCCGATATTTCGATTTACGATATTTTTGCGTACACAAACGGGCTTTTGTGGTAAGTATTCACCATACTTTCAATTAAACACATATTTGAACAAATATAATCGAGGTAAGTTTAAGCAGTGGTGGACTGGACCGGCGGGATACCGGCGTAGCAGATGAATTTTACTTTCTCGTAATTTTTACCGCGGAATGGTTAAATTTCGCGAGGTAAATTTCGTCAAAAATAACAGGCAAATTTCACCCCTCTTATAATTTGTACCAACTCCTCTTAGATTAATTTAAGCTCTCAATAATCAATAAATACGTAAATAAAAGTTTTTATACACCTAAAGTATTTGTAAAATAGAAAAACATGTAAATAAGTCTGTAAAACAGAAACTAATACTTATAATAAATGTATAAATACAACAGTTACAGTTGTATTCACTTAAGAGGACGCGATATAACCGGGGATTAAGCGTAAAAACATATTTGTCACGTAACAGAACGAATTTGTCAATAAATAATAATTATGATAGATCAACCATTTTTTAATAAGGAGAACTTTAGCAGTGGCGTAGCGTTTTTATTTTTTAGCTGGTATAAAAAGATTTAAAAATATTAATTTTTTATGTTTTAAAAAATTGTAAGTGTTTCGTTTATGAATATAAAATGATTGAGATAAGTTATCAGATAATGTAAAACACTACATCACAGACAATATTCTACTTATTAAAAAAAAAAAAAAACGGTCTATCATAGTTATTAAACTAATGGTTTCGTTTCGCATAATACTGTTTTTTCGTATACAAATTAAAAACGTCAACAAATTATTTTATTTTGTTGCGACATAAAAGCCCCTACTTAATTTTCAGGCATCACACGTATAGAAGTTATGGTGCCACATGTGGCGGTGCCACGTATCTATTAATGTCGTTCTTCAAAACTTTTTTACATAACTACACAATTTTTCATTATCACACTGTTTAACCATGAGTCATGACAATAATAAATGTTCATAATATTATTACGTGATGTATGTATTATATAATATTTAGCTAAAAAAAAAAAGGGCAGGTATTTAATTATGATTATCTTCGGCATATTTTGTTCACATGCAAAATCTTAATATAAATGAAAAGTTATTGAACTTTGTCCGTCATTTGAAAAAATAAATAAACATACACCGGTATGGAGTTTTATTCTTCATAACACCCATCTAACATCTTCCAGAGAAAGTATTAGATATTTCAAAACCCTGGGCAAAATACAATTGCAAGGCCTAAATATTTTTTAATTTTAACCTTATCTTATACTAGAGAAATCATAAAATACTTACCTATAGACTATAAAGAATGTTTGAAACTTATTAGTTCATTGTAATATTAAATCTGATTGATGAAAGGAGATAACATTAATTTACAAATTAACAATGCAGAAACATACACAGAAATATGTGGGTACTTATTTTATACTTCCTCTACCTACCATTATCAGCTCAATATTAATTTATCTATATTTAATTTTTTGAAGACGTTAAAATGATTTAAAAAGTTATAGTTAATATGTGTAAACAAATTGTTGAACAACTTTAATTGTGATTTGTGGTAACAGTTTTATATATTATTTTACAGTAATAAGATTTAATAAAACTCGTGTTGTAGTGCACATATAATTAAAAATCTCTCCTAAAATAATGGGGATGGGTGCAACCACTGTTGTAGGTGAGAAGTTGGGAAGGTAGGACAGAGACAGGAATTTAATGTATATCTTTAAGCAATTATAATCTGCAATCTGTAAACCATTGATAACGAAAAAACGATAAACGATAAACGAAAAAACAGAGTTCAATTGATAGTGATAGTTGATAGTTGATAATATAATATATGTCATGTTATGGTAAAATAATTAAATAGGCATTAAATATTTTCTTTAATAATATTTATTTAATATTGTATCGATTTTTCCGTTCTCCCGGGTTTCCCATGATTTTTCCCGGTTTTTCCCATTCATCGGAAAAACTCCTGGTAAAATCAAAAAATGACCTCTTTAAAGTACTACCCCAGTCAGATTTTCTTTCAGTAAAGTACTATCATTGGAAATCGGAGCAAAATTGCTAGTAAAAAAGTTATTCATAGAAAAAAAAAATAAACATCACTCAGAATCTAAAAATACATATGCACAAGATAAAATAAATAAAATTAAGTTGCGCACCTATACTAGGTTTATACTAGGT